GAGAGCCTACAATCCCAGGGGAGCCCGGGGCCACCTCGGACAGGCCAGGGAAGATGCAGCTGACAGCAGGTGCCACGCCCAGGAGGGGTCTCCTGTTACACCACAGGGGAGGGGCCGGGTGCCCTTTCCTGACTGAGCGTGGTTGTGGCTCCTTAGAAAACACCCTGTGTCCCTGGCCTAAGCTGCCCAGGCACACATACATAATCAGTCTTCTTAACTTACATTCTTAGGAAATAATCATGTTCTTTTTGTAATAATATATTTGTATTAATTTTTTACAGAGAGAAAGAGAGAGGGATAGAAAGTTAGAAACATTGACCAGCTGCCTCCTGCATACACTGGGGATGTGCCCGCAACCAAGGTACATGCCCTTGACCGGAATAGAATCTGGGACCTTTCAGTCCTCAGGCTGATGCTCTATCCACAGCCTGAGGACTGAAAGGTCCCAGATTCGATGCTCTATGCACCGAGCCAAACCGGTTTCGGCTAATCATGTTCTTATAATCCAAACAGAGCATTTCTATCTAAATTGAGGCTCTTTCATTGTAACAAATTTACCTCTTCTTCTGTCGATCTTAGCACCTTACAAGCTTCACTCAGGGGAGTGTCTAAAGAAAAAAAACCTCAGCAAAAGGTAGCATTTGATCGGCTCCCCAAGCTCTGTCAGAGGACTGCTCCTAATGCCAGTGGCGATTCTGTCATGCTTATAAACCCTGGGTGATTTAGGGACTCTCAGTTCTTAATCCTGAGAAGGACTACTTCAGTATACCGTAAGTGCTCCTCTGATGAAAATCCAATAACACCTAATCATTCCCAGGGGCCACAGCAGAGCCGTAATCATAGTCCGGCTGGCCATTGCCCTGCACCCAGGAGAGTCTGCATGGGGGCAGCATAGTTAACCTGATAAATGTATTCAATACCAATCTGGTAAACTTATTGTCGGAAATATGTAAAACACTGAAAATACTCACACAGTGTTTTACCTTAACAAAGCAATTTTCCCCTTATTATTCTATTAAACCTTCCAAAGCAATCCTGTGAGGGCAATAGTATTGATCTTGTTTATATACATGAAGAAACTAAATATTGGAGAGGATACGGAAATTTCCAAACACCCACAGGCAATAAGTAAGCTTGGGGGCCCTTCCCTTCCACCCAAAGGAGTTGTTACAGCCCCTGTTTCCATTCAGCACCTAGCTGCTCCTCAGGGAAGGGCACCCTGGCCTGGGTCAGAATTGAGCCAAGCCAGTATCTCACCCCACCCCCACCCCCTGTCTGGCTGTATCTCATTCAGTTCTCCCAGAGGCCTGTGAGGCCATTCCTAATATCAGGGAGAAATGACCTCTTACATTCTAAAAGGCTTCAAAGACCTACATGTGGTAGGTGTATAATGCCATAATATACCATAGTTTACTTGTAATATAAAGAGTAAGCAAAATGCTAAAAACACACCAATGAAAGAGACTCCTGGGTTTGAGGAAATTTTCATGCCCCTCTGCATTTCAGAATGCCAAGCCTACTTTATTGATAAACAGCCTACAGAAAACAAAGTGAAATGCCAATTATTGTTTTCAGAGGAATTTAAAATTACTGTGTTTTTTTAATACATTTAATTGATTTTTTTTTTTTTTTACAGAGAGGAAGGGAGAGGGATAGAGAGTTAGAAACATCGATGACAGTGAAAGATCGATCAGCTGCCTCCTGCATACCTCCTACTGGGGATGTGCCTGCCACCAAGGTACATGCCCTTGACTGGAATCGAACTTGGGACCCTTCAGTCTGCAGGCCGATGCTCTATATCCACTGAGCCAAACCAGTTAGGGCTAAAATTACCATTTTAAATTTCAATATTTTAACAATTTTGGCCCTAATCACACAGCAGTAGAGAATATTCTGGCTCACCTCATTCGTGCAGTGTGGGTTGTTTTAGAAAGAGGACACAAAAGCCTGTCTGCCTACATCTCTTTGTGTGCGGGTATCATGAGTTCAATAACATTTTCTAAGTTTTTATGAGTTAAAAAAAAGTCTGTTCTGAAACCAGACTGCCTGGGTTTGAATCTCATCTCTGGCACTTCCTAGATAATTCACATTGGACAAGTTTCTATGCCTCCGTTTTCTCATCTGTAAAATACTAATAATGGCACCTCATAGTTTGTTCTGTGAATTTAATACATTAACACTTAGAAACAGTTCATGGCACAAGTCAAGTATGAAAGAAGTATTAGTTGTTATTATATTTCTTATTTATTAAAAATACGCCAAGAAAGAAAACCCCAACTTCCTGCAAAGGGCTGTTTCACTCAGCTGCCTATTACAAGCCAAATCTGAATTTCTTTAGCTAAAGTTAATGCAAGTTTTCCTACTCCCTTTTAACTTTCTCCTGAGAGTTCACCAAAGTTATTTTTACCAAGAAGAGATAGTTATCATTCAGGGCAAGAAAATAGAGCAAAGAATAAATTATACACAGGCCTCATCTACTTTTTATGTGTGTGCTCCAAGCCTCTAATTTGGTTTTGCTCCATGTAGCAGCCACATTCCTGAGAGGTTCTCCAGGGTAGGTAGTGTCTGTGCTCCCCTAGACAATCGAAGGTGTATCCTAGCAACCCAAGTCACATGATAGCCAACCCAAGTCACATTTCAATTAGTTTCATTTTACCTTCCTGGTTTTCATATAAATAAAGAATCTGATATCTATTTATTAAATGTATTTACTTTTTGAGAAACTAGAGTCTTTAAATGAATGAATTGGTCACCTTTCATTGACTGAGACCCCTATCACATTTAATTGCAATATTTACATAAAAAATAAACTGATGGAAATAAATACAATCCTTAGGAAGACTATTTAATCCACACAATATTCTTTAAATAAGAAACGGAAAGGTCCAAAGACTCCAACAAGAAAAAAATGTTCAACTAATGTAGGAATGGATTGCATCATCCTATTTTCAAGAATGATGGCCCTACTTAGGACATTATAAAGGCTAGAAAATCCTGCCCCATCTGCCACTCTAGTTTATCAAGCAGGACCAGACTTAAAACTATCCTGCTCAGCCAAAACAGGTTTGGCTCAATGGATAGAGTGTCGGCCTGCGGGCTGAAGGGTCCCAGGTTCGATTCTGGTCAAGGGCATGTACCCTGGTTGAGGGCACATCCCCAGTAGGGGGTGTGCAAGAGGCAGCTGATCTACCCAATATGATTCTCTCTCATCGATGTTTCTAACTCTCTATCCCTTTCTCCTCCTTTCTGTAAAAAATCAATAAAATCTATTTTAAAAAAATAACAAACAAAAAAATATCCTGCTCAGATGACACACCTAACTGTAGGGAGCCCCCTGGAAAATACCTGGACATTCTTTAGACTGTTGTTGACTGAGCCTAGGATATTGACAGAATCGTGTCAGTTACCTTCCTGCCCTGGAAGTGTGGAGATGTTCTTAGTTCCTGGCTTGTGTTTGTCAGGCAGGAAGGAGTGGATGGGACCTGGCCTCTCCCAGGCTCCTTGTTTTTCCTGTGGAATCCCCCCCCCCCCCGCCCCCTTTGTGTATTGGAGAATAAATAGTGTGCTGTGTGGCTCAGGGGTTGTCAGTCTCTCCAGCAGAAGAGGTCTGCTACCCACCTGGGGCCCAGCTTAAACTTATTTCTGCATCGACTCTTCTTCATTTCTTTATTTCTCAGTCCCTGGCTGCCTCTACGAAGAACCAATTTCATCTCTCTTTCCGTGCTGGCCACAGAGAAGGGAGATCCCCGGCCATGTCAGGCCCCCGCACCTAACATTTTCTATGTGGAAGCTCCCAAAGAGAGTCCACAGCTCTCTACAACCCATTGAAGTATTTAATGATCCTCAGGGAATTAAAAAATTGTTCTCTGCCTTGACCAATTGGTTCAGCATGGTCCCATGCACCGAAAGGTTGCTGGTTTTGATTTTAGTCGGGGCATATAATAAGGTTTCAGGCTCATCCTCAGTAGAGGGTATGCAGGAGGCAGCTGGTGAATATTCACTCTCTCTTTCCCACTCCCTTCCTATCTCTCTAAAAAGAATCAAAATATTTTAAATAAATAAAATTTCAAGACCATTTTATAAAGTTATATATGGGCTCTAGTTTAACCCTCAGACTTAAAAAAAAAATGTTCCCCAACATTGATGCTCAAGTCCCTAAATAAATATTCCCAGCAATGCATATCCATTGGTGCCATGACATGTTTGGGATGTCATCTCTCAAGTGGGCCCCAACTCTGCTCTGAAACTGCCTCATTCCTTAAGCCTCCATGTTCCTCCATTCTCTTCAAGCTGCCATTCCTTCTCAGTCTTAGCAGGTGGTATCTCTCTTACTTCTCTGATACTGTTTTTGTTCATCCAAGTTTTCTTCTATCATCCTCTTCCACTTATCAATATTATTTTCTTCGCTCAGCCTCTTTGTTTTTCTTTTTTACTCTGAAGACCTCTCTTCTTGGCCTCTATTCTCCAGGATCTCATCCATCATATGTTTGCTTTCTTCTTTCACATTTCCCAATGCCTCCCTCTCTGGTGGCCCTTTCACTTCTGCTATAAGCACAGCCTACATCCCTGTCACCTAAGAAGACCCTTCTCTTCTCTACCAAGCCCCTCAAGGTGGCATCTTCCTTTTTTCCTCTTAGCCATCACTCTGAATATTAATCTGCCTTTCTACCAGCAGTGATTCTTAATGGCTGATTTGTCTCCCTTCACTCCTGGGGGAATTTAGCAATGCATAGAGACATTTTTGATGGTCATGACTTTACAAAGAGGTGCTGTTGGCATCTAATGGGTTGAGTCCAAAGATACTGCTAAATATTCCACAATTCAGGATAGCCCCCACAATGAACTGTCAATAGTGCCGAGTTTGGAGAAACCCTACTGTACAACTGAGTCTGCTTTTCAGAAGAGGGGTATTGATGGAAGAGTAATGGCGTGGTTCCTCTTAGTATAATAAACTCATCGTTGTTTTCTCTTTCTCTCTCTTTCCCTTTACTTGTCTACAGGAGCCAATGCCTCTGCCCCTGACCAACTGAGCTTGGCCTTAGCCTGGAACCGAGTCGACATCGCTCGCAGCCAGATCTTTATTTATGGGCAACAGTGGCCGGTAGAGTATACGCTGTCGCCCCTGAAAAGCCCACCACTTGCTTGGGCAAGGGTACTTCCTTAAAGAGCCTCTGAGAGCAACTGGGGAAACTGCTGCCTTTTCTTTAGGATGTAAATGAGCTAGGAAACCACCGCCACCTGGTGGAACATGTGGCTAAGCACAACTCAAAAGGTTCCCACCATTTCCATCTCTGAGCGGCCTTTGATAGCAACTTTGGGCAGCAAATGATGCTATTACTTTTAAATGTCTAAAAATATAGATACACAGAATACAAAATTGCATCCATTGCAATAAAGGAAGGAATTAACAATTGTGGTTAGCAATTTGATTCTGGTTGTCTTTGAGGTTGCTGCTTCCAAGTAGTGGCAACCTGTGCTGGTGCATGGCTGGGCAGCACCTCAGGATGCAGAATTAGCAAGCTTCCCCAGGCAGGTGCCATCTGGTCCCAGTGGCTGAGCACAGGCCCTCCCTCTTCCCAAGTGCAGCACAGAAGGAGCCAGCGCTTTACATAACTGTTCCTGGTTTATTTCCCTCATCGACACTACCAACAACAAAAACTTGGGAAATTGGCCATTGGGTGACGTGTGCATGTATCCCCGGGAGGTAACCGGCAGACTTCTGTGCCTGGAATTACTGTACAGGTCTTTTTTAACCCTTCCTTCCCCCAGAGCGCCCGCCTAGGATGGAATCCCTGTCTTGGTTCGGTGCCACAAGGGTATTGCCGCTGTGGGAAAATGTGTCAAGGAGTCTGGACACAGAAAGTTTTGTAAAAGGAATTAAATAAAACCTTAGCAGACAAGCCAAAGGATCTAAACAGTTGTTGTGTCTCTGAGACGCAGGCAAAGTGACATCACTTAACTAAAAAAAATAAAAAAAATAAAAAAATAGAACAACCTACTTTGTAGTCTGCTTACAATGGTCCCTCTTCTCAAGCCAGCCAGGGGCCACTTCAGAGCCCAAGAAAGACGAAAACAAAGACAGCAACGTACCCACTTTAGCACTTCAATGGTGCTGCAGAAGTTTGGCCAGAGAGTTAGGAGAGGAAAAGCCTTATAAACCCTTGTACCTTCTCAGGAGAGTGAGAGAGGAAGAGCGAGGGGGGGCCGATTTTGAAATTCAAGATTATATCTTTAGCAACTAGAAATCCTTGAATTCTTTTTTCAAAGACAAGACCCAAAACACAGGATAGATTGTCACTGTCTCAAAAGCAGAGTTGGAAGCAGTCTTGCTAGCACGCTCTTGGATGTGCTGAAGGTTTGCCAGATGTCAGAGGCATCCATGTCTCGGCCGTTCAGGTGAATGCTGAAGAACTGCATCTGCAGAGCCTGGGGCAGGCTAACTCAGTGACTTGATTTGCAGGTGGGGTCTTTGGAACAAGCCATGTTGGATGCCCTAGTTCTGGACAGAGTGGATTTTGTGAAATTACTCATAGAAAATGGAGTAAGCATGCACCGTTTTCTCACCATCTCCAGACTAGAGGAATTGTACAATACGGTAGGACCAAGCTAAGGCTTTTTACTTTCTCTTCGTTTTTTTTTTTGTTTGTTTTTTTTCTTTGTTTGATTTGCCTTCTCCTGCTCCCCTACATGCCTGTGAGTCTCCTCCCTGCCCTCCAAATGCATGGATCATTCTTCACAAAAGCTCCCTCTCACTGGTGTAGACAAGCAACACCGAGTCACCAAGACTCCACTTGTTTTAACTGCTCAGTTGTCAGCACCTAAGGCAGAAAGTTATGCGATTACCAAAAGGTAACATTCTCAGGTTCTTACACCAAATCACCAGGACAATGAAATTAAAACATAGTTTATTTGTAAGCCAGAGGCTGTTTGAGGCAATCAGCAAAGAAGAATTGATTTCACTACAAGCATCAAAGGAGGAAAATTAATTATCCAGCACCATCTTGTTATCCTCAGAGCTAGGAATAAAATATAAAAACCTCTTGCTTAGGGTTACCCCAAAATAATTGTTGTTTTATAATGATTTTTTAATTCATTCACTAGGGATATCGAGGAGCAATCATAAAAAAAAAACAACAAAAAAAAAACACAATTACTATTTGTGAAGCTTTTGAGAGTATTCAATGAATTAAGTACATTGGCCCTGAGCTGATGCTCGCTAAAATCCAGTGATGTTTAAAATGTAGAAATTGCACTCCCCCATTTTACAGATGAGAAAACAGAGGCCAAACAGTGGATTGATTTATTCAAGGTCACAAAACTCCTAGATGAAGAAAGAAGCTGGTACTGACCTAAAGCTTCTTAGAGATTATTCTTCCCTTCATCTGTCATAGCACTTCTCTACTTCACCACCCACAGTACTAATGAGATTAAAATTATTGACCTATTCCCAGCCAGCTTAGGTGTTAGATGATGCCATTCTGGCTCTATCTTACTCCCACTGATGGAAGTAGAAATGAGTTTAGCAGAGTGTTTCCAGGTTTCTCTTTTCCCGGTAGATTATTTTATTTTTTATTTTATTTTTTTGTTCAGCATACTGAGTCTTTTAGTAAGAACAATAAACCAAGATGGTGACATAGGAGGCCCAACCTTTCATCCCTACAAAAAGACCAATGATTAGCTATAAAGGAAATGGGCACATGTAGAAATATGCAATCAACCAAGTCTGAATCATAAAGAACTTTAAAATGTGAACAGATTAATAACAAGTAAGGAGATTGGATTTGTAATTTTTTTAAAAAAAAGAAAGAAAGAAAGAAAGAAAGAAAGAAAGAAAGAAAGAAAGAAAGAAAGAAAGAGAGAGAAAACTCCCCAACAAAGAAAAGCCCAGGACCAGGTGGCTTCATAGGTAAATTTCACAAAATGCTAGCCCCATTTTAGAAATGGTAATACTGAGTCATAGTGAAGTAGCTTGCCTGTGGTTGCAGCTGGTCAGCAGCAGAGCCAAGTGGAGCCAGGCATTCTGACTCCACAGTCTGCATGTTTACTCCCTATGGTCCTGCATCCTTCAGTGGAACAAGCTCTGATGAGCATGTCTGCTTGAGTGGGCAGGTAGGTCATTGAGGCCATAGAGGGGGATGGTCTCAGTCCTTGAAAGTGTTTCAGCCATGCTTAAGGGTTTGCCATCACTGTCTGAGATAATTTCATAGGGTCATCAGATTTAGCAAATAAAAATACAGGATGCCCAGTTGAATTTAAATGTCAGACAAACAACAAATAATTCTATCTAATAAAACAGTAATATGCAAATTGACCATCACTCCAATACCCAAGATGGCCACCCCCATGTGGTCAAAGATGGCTGCCCCAATGTGGACACAAGATGGCCAGCAGGGGATGGTAGTGGGGGGGACAAGGCCTGCAGGGGAGGGTAGTGGGGGGTACCAGGCCTGCAGGGGAGGGATGTTGAAGGGCACCAGGCTTACAGGAGAGGGCAGTTGAGGGGAACCTAGACCTGTGGGGGAGGGCAGTTGGGGAGTTCCAGGCCTGCAGGGGAGGGAAGGTAGGGGTTATTAGATCAGCAGGAGAAGGTAGTTAGGGGCAATTGGCAGGGGAGCAATTAGGCCTTGATCAGACTGGCAGGGGAGTGGTTAGGAGGTGTTCAGGCTGGCAGGCAGAAGTGGTTAGGGGCAATCAGGCAGGCAGGCAGGCAGGCAAGCAGTTGGGAGCCAGCAGTCCTGGATTGTGAGAGGAATGTCCAACTGCCCAATTAGGCCCTATTTTACAGTGGGATCTGGCTTAAATGGGCAGTCAGACATCCTTTGAGTGGTCCCAGACTGGAGAGGGTGCAGGCTGGACTGGGGAACACTCTCCCACCCCATCCCATGCACAAATTTCATACATCAGGCCTCTAGTTTTTAGTATAATTGGGTCCCAAATATTGCATGGGGCATACTTATGTTAGAAATAATTCACTGTCTATCTGGAATTCAAATTTAACTGGGCATCCCATATTTTATCCAGCATGCCTATTCCTGAAAGACAGTGGGGTGGCAAACGATTTCATTTTATTCTTCCTTAAGCCAGGGGTGGGAAACCTTTTTTCTGCCAGGAGCCATTTGGATATGTATAACATTGTTTGCTTAATCTAATTCACTTAATATAAATTTACATCACCAGAAAAAAACAAACAAACAAAAAACTCCTAGATTCATTGAATTTCGAGTCCACCTGCGGTTGCCGTGGCAGGCCAGACCAAGTGATTCTGGGGGTTTCAATGCAACCCACAGCCCACAGGCCTACATTTCCCACCCCTGCCTTAAGCAAACACACATCTTTTTCCCAAGCCTCTTTTCCCAGACTTCCTGTGGCCTTTTCTTTAGACCAGATTTTAGCAAACTACCACCCAACAGCCAAATCCAGCTTGCTGCCTAATTTTGTCTGGCCAGGGAGCTGAGAAGGTTGTTTTGTTTTTGGTTTTTGGTTTGGTTTTTATTTACATTTTCAGTGTTTGAAAATATCAAAAGAAGAATGATATTTCGTGAAGTCCAAATTATATGAAATTTTACTCTCTTTTTGTGTCCACAAATAAAGTTATGTTGAAACATAGGCCAAGTCCTTTGTTTAGGTACCATCTCCGACTGCTTCTACACCATGGCAGAGTTGAGCAGCTGCCATGAAGACCCTATGCCCCACATATTGACCACCTGGGTATTTCCTAAAGAAGTTTATCAACCCCTGCCTTACATAATTTCTCATTCAATGTGGGTAATAAGGAAGATGTGATTGGCAATGTGCCGAAGTGTATTTCCAATGCGGTCAACTGGCCCCTTGGCCTACCCCTGCTGCAAAACTAGCCCCTTAAGTGATGGGGCTAGTTTTGGCTAAGCTGTCTATAGCAGTGATGGCTTCCTTTATAGAGCTTGAACCCAGAGCCTCAAATGTTGTTTTCTTGAGGAACCACAAGTCCAAAATCTGCCAATGCGTTTCTTTCGAAAAGACAGGCACAACTGAGCAACTACAACAAGATTCATCTGATTGACTATCCCTCACCAGCCAGCCCCTTCCTTCCAGATCCTCCTTGCCTCGCAGTAAGAGCCCGGCTAGCAAAACCATTTGATTCTTCTTTATTGTTTTCAGAGACATGGGCCCTCAAACACATTGTACCACTTGGTCAGGGATGTCAAAAAGGTAAGAACCCTCTCGACTGCAGGTCGGAGGCCCTGTCTTGACTGCTTCCTGTGATTACAAAGCGCCTCTGTTTTGCGTTGCATGAGCTGCCAGAGCACCCCTGACCCTGCCAGATGCCCCTCATTGCAGGGCACAGAGTGTGTGTGCGTGTGTGTGTGTGTGTGTGTGTGTGTGTGTGTGTCTTTTAACTCTGACATCTCTGCTTACTATGCAGCTGTGGTTTATCTTCGATCTTCGTGGTGTTAGACGCTTTTGTTGAACATAGTGCTTTGGATAGTAGAGCTCCAGGCTTTTCCCCCATGCCAGGTGGATTTATGCCATTACCTGTATTTCTCCATGTGCCCCTCTCTGTGTGGGGAGTTTGTTTCCATGCTGTCCAACCTATTATAAGAGGTATCTTCATGAACTAGTTCCTGATGTGATATATCACTGTCACGTCTAGCATTATGCAGGGTGTAGGATAATACCAAGGCTCAGAGCCACAGAGACTAAAACAAATATTTGTATGCCATTCTTCTAACACTTTATTTTTTTTCCCTAGTATAGTTTTTCCCATTCATCATCTAAGATTTTGATGAGGGGGAAAACCCAGTAGGTTTAGATCAAATAGATTTAATCCCATTTTACAGATGAGGAAGCTGAAATGCAAAGAGGTGAGAGCTCTATTAAGTGAACAGTGAAGAACTAGAATTAGAACTCGGAGCTTTTGACTAATGATAAAACGATAATACCCGATAGTTAGTGATGACTAAGCGTGTGACACCAATCTACGCTTTCTAGGCACCTTCACTCGTTTCATCTTGACCACAATTCTACAAAGTAGAATCATTTTTTTTTAATTTTGTTATTAGATAGCAGTAGTCCCACGTATAGATGAGAGGAGGGAGGCACAGGAAGATTATTTTTAAACTTCCCCGAGAGCTTGTTCTTTGTCCCTATACAATCTCTTTCATAGATAGCTTTGGCCTGAGCCTTTGACAACATTCCCAGGAAGTGGTGCTTTAACTATAATGAATAAAATAGATAGTGGCACTTTCTCCTCCCCATACACATACACACACAGAAACACATACATACATGTGCACCCCTCTACAAATTTGTAGCAATTCTTCACCAAAGTCGGTAAGGCATACTCAGAGAAAGTTACAAAGTAAGGTCAAAAATAGAGTCCAATTCCTTCATGTCAGGGATTTTGATGGCTAGAACTGACCCTGAGGTGTCCTATAGGTGCTTTTTCATTTTCCTTCAAAAGGTCAAGCAAAGGCCCTGGGTCTGCTTATATTGTCCCCATTAACCAGGTGGACCTTTCTGATCCATGTGAGTGAGTGAAGCCTGTTGTTCTTTCAAATCAAGGGAAACATGCTGTGCAGTCTGTACACCCAACCCAGCAAGCATTTTACCACCATCACATCTTTCCTTGGTCCACCCCACTTCACGCCATAGCATACCTGCCCTCAACAAGCCTATTTCTCTTTCCCTCCGGTCTTCCAATTTTGTTTAAATTATTCTGGATAAAAATTGCCTAGAAACTAAAAGTAGGGGATATCTCAGGAGACTGTGTACATAGAATATATTTGTTGCTCATGTTCAATAAAATGTCTTGAGATTTTTCTAAAATAACAAGATATTATCCCCTCACCTTAAGCTGCCCATTGTCCCTGAAGGAATTGTGAGGCTCGCTGAGGGGACACCTGTGCCTTTGTGCCTCAGTCCCAGCCATCGGCCAATCCAAACCTGCAAACAAAGTCACTCATCCACCTCCATCATGCGGGTTCTCAATGTCTCACGTGATTTTCAAAAGGACTTTGTAGTTAGATCTTGCTGAGCACAAACGATCAAAATCCCTCCTATTAGGTTTTCTGCCTTGCTGGACTCTGCTTCGCAATATCATTTTTTCTTTTCTGAAATCCCAGTAGCTGCCTTTTGCATTTGCTCACATCATTTGTATTAAAAGGCATGTGGAGTATTTTTAAGGTAGGGTTCTTAAAAATACTGTGTACAAGAGCAAGAGCAAGGATATACTTACCTAAGAATTCATTTACTTAGTAACTGGAAAAAAATGATACCATATCATCCAGGATAGTACTGGCTTACGATCAATTTATCTTTTTACCAGGGACTAGAGATTGCCAATAGGTGGGGAGAAACAGAAAGCCTATGTTTAGCTTCTTTTGGGGGGAGGAAATAGGAGCAGGAAATGCAGCCTTCACTTATTTCTGTGATAAAGATGAGCACCTGACTATTGGAAAGCAGGATAGAATATACAATGGAGCCAAAGAAGTTGGACTTGTCTCCATTTTATGTTACATGGAAGAAGGGGACAGAATTATGGGGGGTTGTTTATTTTATTTATTTATTTATTTATTTATTTATTTATTTATTTTAGAGAAAGCAAGGGAGAGAGAAAGGGGAACATTGATGTAAGAGTGAAACATTGATTGCCTGCCTCCTGCACGCCCCCTACTGGAAATCGAGCCTGAACGAGGGACATGTGCTCTGACCAGGAATCCAGCGGGTAACCTTTCAATGCACAGGACAATGCCCAGCCAACTGAGCCACACCAGCCAGGGCCTTTGTGTGTTTTTAAGAATTGAATGATCAAGAAATTAATATTTTCCTCAGGTGGTTCCAGAAGACTTCTAGTAATTTAGGCCAGTAAGATTCTCAAAGTCTACAAAAACAAGATTTAAAATATTAAGAAAATCTTGGGCAGTTTAAGCAATTGTCAAAATTAAGGGCCATAATAATTAGTATGTACTTTGTGCTTTATGATTATAGGACTTTGTGTATGTATTTATTGATTTAACCTGTGGCAAAAAAAATTTAATCAGTAACTGATAAAGCCTGATACAAAATGCTGTTGGTAAGAATGAACACCGTTCTGGACCTTAAACATAGTGTTTGGTAATATGTCTGTAAATGAAATGTAAGTAACTCTGACAAACCCAGGGGATGCATTTAGGAATTATTAGACCATCATAAGTTAACCAGCATGACATCTGCAAGTCCAACTATCCTTTGAAATCAACAGAACTGAATGTGGAAAATTACTCCTATGCTAGCTTCAATATCTCGACTTATTCATACCAAGGGAACAATCTAGGAGCAATGAGATGAAGAGTTGCTATTCAGCATCTATCAGAAATTTAAAATTATTTAAGTCAGCCCAATTCCCGGGACTGTTTTCATGCATAAATCCATTGGATGTAGCAATGCTCTCTTATTAAACCAGAGTGTCTGTCTGCTTTTTCGTGAATTCTAACTTGTCATCTTAGTAGCTATTTGCCTGCTCATTTTGTGCCTCTGTATGTTTTAAAGTAGTAGTTTTTCTTTCTTCAATTAAATGTGCTAACACTTCAGAATACCTTTACTATCCCTCCCCACCAAAAGAATATGATATTTGTTTTATAGAGAAGTAGTGTGAAATTAGGGTAGTTTTAAATTCATTCACATGGGGAACCAAGACTCAGAGCTTTACAGAATGAATAAAAAAAAAAGTTTTTCAGACACAGTTTGGGTAAAGAAAGGGCATCTTATAATCCACACAAATTTACAAAAGCATTCTTACTTTTTATAAGATTGGTTGCCCAGTCTATTACCATGTCAAACATTGGGGGAACACCCTCTTTTTCCATAAACTGTCACCAGAGTAGTCGTTTCCACATTCTCCCTTGGTAAACCTGACAACCAGCTATCACTAGGACCTTCTTGCATCAGAAGGAAATGGTCTTGTTTTGAAGACTTGTAAGTTTAAAGAAAAGAAAAAAGAAAAAAAAAAGGTATTTCCCAAACAGTCGAAATGTGTGGTGATGTCATAAGCTGACATCCGAAAAATAGAGTGCATTTAGGAGAGCAGATCTACGTGAATGTAAACTATTCTTTTAATTGACAGCTATCCTTCAGGATGGCATGGGTTAAAACTCAGCTTCAGAGTAGCAGTTATGAAGTTGTACCTATCCCCAGACCCAAGCTTCTCTGTTTTATTCAGTGGGTTGGGTTACTTAAATCACGTGGCTTGCCATGTGTTGTTAGGGCATGAAACGGGGAATAGGTGTTCAGGCTTTACCAGTACCAAAGTCATTGCCAAAAAGGGGAGGGTAGATACCAGAAACAGCAGGCAGACAGAAGGGTATCACACCAGTGTCATTGTGGACTCCTATCTGAAAAGGACCCAAGCAAAGGAAGACTCCTCCCAAAGGCTTTTGGACATTACCTGTGGCATGTGATGTGGCGTTCACTTTCTCTGCTTTTTTCCAGCGGAGGTGAATATGATGAGCACAACCCCACCCCTGTCGGCCCCTTTACCACCCCTTGTCTCTAAGCCCCCAGCTCCACTATCCAAACCTCAGGGGATTCGTGGAAACTACATCAACCTGGAAGTTTGGACAAGAGTCTTTGTCCAGTGACCTGGCAGCATAGAAATAAGAGCAGCCTGCCAGCTGGTGGTCAGACTTTTAGAAAAAGATAAGACTTTAAGAGTAACTGGGTCCAAACTGCATGTTTTCAAAGTGTAAACTGAGGTACAGAGAAAGGCAAGCCCACAGTCCATCCCAGTGCCGTTTCCATGGGGCGGGCATCTTGCTACATCTGTTACACCTGCAGGTCACAGGTGTCCAAGGCCATCAGCCCAGACTGGCACCAATGCTGCATCCCCTTCAGAGTTCACCCAGGACACAGTTATGGCAGTTTTATTCATTTTATTAAATCTATTTCTTCTTCCCCAAACTGTTTCCTCTCTTCCCAGTAAAAATTGTGGAACTAATTTCCCTTAATTTCTCTGCTTCCATAAGCCTCTGGAAAGAAACAGCTGCAGTCTGGCAGACTGCGTTCAAACGAATTACTGGGCAAAGTAAGCTTTCCCTCCTCCAGATATCACGTCAACAAAAACATCTGACTCTCTCCTTACCTCCAAATCCTCAATCTGCTCTGTATTCATTTACATCAGTTAGTACACAAAACAGAGCAGGCAGGCAAATGCTGAGGAATCTGCATTGGTTTCCGTTAGGTAAACATCGCCGCCTTGTGGTCAAACAGAATGCAGGCCATTTTCTTTCTGGCTGTCACTAAAAACTGGGGAGGACCTAGGATAATCCTTGAATCCTTTAGACCAGACTATACATCACTCTAAAATAATTAAGCTTTATATGAAAAGTTGTTTCTAAAGAAAAGAAGAAGATTACAGCACCTTCTTTGGTAGTCTATAAACCTATAGTCTCTTTATGAATAAAATCATTTACCAAAAAAATGGTTTTTTTGCCCCTCTTAAATTTTATTTATTTATAATTTTACTATTATCACTATTTTTCCTGACAACTCCCACTCTTCCGGACACGTGACATGTATAAATATTGCCATTCAACACTGGTCTTCAGACAATATTGATTCTTGTTCTTAGAATTCAAAACTAATGCTTCCATATGGATTTCTCAAATGAAAATTTATAGGTGTTAGACTCGATATTACCCACATTTTAAATTTAGAAAATGATGACAAGGTTGAAAATAGGCACAGATTCCTAGACTTGGCTATCGCTTCCTTTCAATAACATCATAATAAATCCTTTGGGGATTTTTTTTTTTTTTTTTTTTTTTTTTAAGCCTGGTACATTGCAGACCACAGAGGCCAGGAAGTTCGACTCTTTTTACTGAGAAAACGGAGGCGATGCGGGAAAGTGGCTGGTTTGTCTTATAGACAGAAGCCCAGGGCAGTTGAGTCACAGCCAGTGCTCCTTACCCTGCCTACCGCACAGTGCCAAGGAAATAACAGACAGGGTGGGCATCCTCTGGAGGGCATCCTTAATGGAGCCGGGTGCACTGGGGAGGAGGCTGATTCCGGTGCGGACAGGCTCTGGCTCCTCCACCTTTGACATAACAGAGTTCCTTAACCGTCTGGTAGGGCCAGACCATACAGAAACTACAGCCTTGTTCATCTATCCCAAAAAGAGAGAGAAATGGTCACATGGGTAATATTTTTTAAATCAGCTAATGTTTATGGAAAGGGCAATACTACCTGAAAAGTTGTGACCTTCAAATAAAATCTTCTCTAAGTTCCCTTTGTTATGTTTTTACCATAGTCTGCATAAAGAAGCCAGACAATTGGTCTTTCTTGGCAGCCTGAGGACAGCTTAATTTGACAAAGAGTGATGAGATAATCTTTAAACAAAAGAGATCCCAAAATTCTGAGAAAGAGGGGGAGGAGCAGAGAGATCATTTCTGTGAAGGGACTAGTCAGCAAAGAAATGGGTTCTGAAGAGCCACAGTCAGGTATGGAAGGGGTTGTGTGCCTTAAAGTGCTTCCATCTCATCTAGAATGCCCTTCACACAGTCCCACTTTGCTCAGCCATTTCAAATTAGGTCCCCAAGCCTGCCTGTATCCCAAGGTAAGGGAGAGGTAGAATGCAGTGGGCAGGGCTGAGAACTAAGTCCAGCAAGGAAGTTGAAAGAGCAGCACTGGGATTCATACACTTGGGCTGTGCATCAATTGCTATCCATTCATTCCGGCCCATACAGATACACCAATATGCATATTTCAAGTCAAATTTCTACATTAAACTGAGGCTTTTCCAAACAGGGGTGACCCACACACTGTGGCTAGGAAGTTCCCTTACTGAGAACATAATGCAAAAAAAAAAAAAAAGCAAACAAACAAACAAACAAAAAAAACACACACACAGAGATTGATCCCACCACCACATCAGTTAATTTCACTGTTTTATTCATTCATATTTTCAACAAAAAGCATTTCGAATGCCAACCACACATCAGGCACTATGAAAAGCACTAGGAATACAAAGATAAATAAAACAATGAATAACACAAGGTTTTTTCTCCATGCTTTCTCTTTCAACACAAGGGATGTTCATAAATGACTTCACCTGACATCCATCCTTTATTAAAGGAACCAAATGTTCATTATTAATAGAAGTTTGGCATGAAAGGATATCTGAGCTCTAAGCATCCCCCACCTGACGCAAGCCCTGGCAATACCAATCCCTCTGGAAGGAGTCTTCATTTAGTGAATGTGAAGAACTAAAGGATCAGAAGAGGGCAGTAGCAGGCCTGGGTCTGAGGCAGAGCAACCAGGGAGCTGGGGACAGCTGGGGAACCTAGTTCCTAGTGTCTGGGAGCCGTAGCATTTGCCATGTCTAGCCTTGTGTTTCTTTCTGCTACGCTGGTGTGTTTTTCTCCTCAGCTGAAGACCTGAATAAATATTTTGATTTTCTGTTCTTGCCAACGATTACTGCATCTCTTATTTAACTTATGTCTTCTTTCCAAGCGAGAATATCCAGGTTTCGGTTGGATCTATTTTAAGGTGAATTAATTAACCAGCATAATCATTCATTCATATGTTTCTTTTTTAATTAATTTTTTTTTTTTTTACTCTAAAATAGTTACAGAACACATGGGATCGAATCCCTAGTAAATCACACTGTCCTTTGGCTCTTTTTGTTTTCACTTCTTCCCTAACAGGGGAACCTGCCTCCTGACTACAGAATCAGCCTGATCGACATTGGCCTGGTGATAGAATACCTGATGGGCGGAGCTTATCGCTGCAACTACACGCGCAAGCGCTTCCGGACACTCTACCACAATCTCTTTGGCCCCAAGAGGGTGAGGCTTGTGGGCAAATTCGGGTTCCTGGACTCCTGGGTGGACTAGGGTGCTACCAATTCAGGGTGTGGCTTCCTTCTCTTTTAGTGAGCAATGAGATGAGATGAAGGCAATTGCCCCACCTCTTCTTCCCTCCACCATCAAATCTGTTTTTAACAAAAGAGGGGGAGAGGGATGTATTCTTTCCCTACGTCCAGTTCAAATCAGAAACACACTGAGAGTGAGCCTTAATGATCAGAGAATAGCAGTGAAATTCAAATGAATCTTATTACCTACCACAGCAATTTTCAAGGTTTTTGGTCTAGATGGATCTATTTATACCCTTAAAAATTATTGAGGACTGCCGAAACCGGTTTGGCTCAGTGGATAGAGCGTTGGCCTGCGGACTGAAAGGTTCCGGGTTCGATTCCGGTCAAGGGCATGTACCTTGGTTGCGGGCACATCCCCAGTAGGGGGTGTGCAAGAGGCAGCTGGTCGATGATTCTCTCTCATCGATGTTTCTATCTCTCTATCCCTCTCTCTTCCTCTCTATAAAAAATCAATAAAATATAAAAATAAAAATAAATTATTGAGAACTCCCAAAAGCTTTTTTTTTTAATCTATTTTGGGTTCTATCAATATTTATCATGCTGGAAATCAAAGTTGAAACATTAAAAATAATTATTTATTAATTAATCTTAAAGTGACCATAAGAAGTCCATCATAGCATGTTTATGAAAAACAACTATGTTTTTACAAACAAAAATTAGTGATGAGTAGCATAGTTTTACATTTTTCCAAAATTCTGTAATGTTTGACTTAACAGAAGATAGTTAGATTCTCATATCTACTTCTGCAGACAGTCTGTTACAAGACATTGTTTTGGTTAAAATATATTAAGAAAATCTGCCCTCATACAAATATGTGACAAATATGACAAGTGTATCAAAAAAAGGAAGGAGTAATCTTTAGTGATAATTATAGCTATTCTTTTTTGATAGTACATCAAAATTCAAGTGGCAATTTCTTGAAGATTAGTTTGCAACATGAAATCTCAAACCATGTCAATGACCTTTTCCTATTAAAATCCAAACTGCAGTTTGTATAGATCTTTTAACATCGTAGATTGGTCAGTGTAAAATATTGGTTTGTTGAGTTATATTCTGATCTTCTAAATGTTGACACATTTTATTATACAATTTAAAAACCTTGCAAAAACTTGCATTCACCTTCAATCTCATCAGAAAAGTCTTTAAGTACTGAAAAACTGTCAAGATCATGGGGTGGGTTTTCTAAGATTCTATTATCTGCTTGAAAGTTTGAATTTTGTCATTGACAACCAATCCTGCAAGTTGTTTTCCTTGAAATGACAGTCCTTCTTAGCTCATTTCCAAAATGTCTGCCATCCAGGTCTAAGTAACCCTAGTTGTTTACCAGTCATTTCTTCGCACAGATTGTTCATGAGGCAAAGTGGCTATAATTCAGCCCCAACAGCCCCCTGAGTGTTCTCCCTCAGGACCCCCGTCCTTGTTTAGTATGTAACAGCAGTGCTTTATGCGGCTTCCCACTTCATCCCTCAGAAGAGTAAAAAGGCATTTTTTTTTACTAATAAGAGTAGAAATTTTTTAAAATATATTTTATTGATTTTTTACAGAGAGGAAGAGAGAGGCATAGAGAGTTAGAAACATCGATGAGAGAGAGACATCGATCAGCTGCCTCCTGCACACCCCTTTCCGGGGATGTGCCCGCAACCAATGTACATGTCCTTGACCAGAATTGAACCTGGGACCTTTCAGTCCGCAGGCTGACGCTCTATCCACTGAGCCAAACCGGTTTCGGCAAAAGTAGAAATTTAATACACGTTAATATTTTAGGCCTCATCAAGCACATTCTTTTGTTGTTGTTTTGTTCCATTCATTTTTAGAGAAAGTAGAAGGGAGGGAGAAAGAGAGAGAGAGAAACATTGATATGAGAGAGACACATCAATGGGTTGCCTCCCAAACACTCACTGTAACCCAGGTTCTGCCCTTGACTGAAAATCAAATTCGGTGCAAAGGCCTAATCTCTGTCCAATGAGCCATACTAGCCAGGGCTCATCAAGCACATTCTTAAGTGCAACTGTTTTGTTTTGTTTTGTTTTAAACTTCAAGTGTATAACAGTGAACTCTAATGACAACTAGTAAAGCCTGGTACCACTGCCTTCATTCTTGCCAAGGTACCCAGCAATTTTACCAACCATTGCTTTTGTATCATCAGTGCAAATATAAATGCATCTTGGTGTTATTATGAAAATAGCTTTCACTTCACAGGCCCCTGGAAGGCTCTCAGGAAAAACCATAGGGTCATATGGTCCTAAGACAACATTTTGAGAACTGCTGCTATAGCTGGTGGCAGGCATAATTTTTTTACTTTTACCAAAGTTTACCATCTGATTATTCTAGTATTTTGTGGTGCTAAAAGAGACCTTTGAAAACACCAAAAAGTATAAATTTTTTAAAATCACAAATTTTAAACTGGTGGTCATTATGAAAGCTAAAAGAGAAAGAGGGAGAGGTGAGGTTCAAGCTATTCTGACTTGAATGGTCAAATAAAATTTGGAGGAACCTAAGTGCTATAACCCTACTATTTACTTAAATAACTTTCAAGGTGGTACCCAACCATTCTATAATACTTGCAATTTGGAATTGGAATTCCTGACCCCTGAAATATAATTTTGTATCTCCCCTTGTTAAATATAAATCAAGTTGTATACTTTGCTGAGTTGCCTTCTCTGTCCGCCTCGGTCTGTGCCTGTTTTGCACATCCCAGCATGAGCAATGATGCTTCTGTTTGTGCTGACACTTTCCATGACATTACAGTAAGTGCCATCGACACATGCCCTCTGGCCCCACTCACCCTTGATCTACTGGACAGCAGCATAGAGAGATGGCCAGCAGGAAGCATCTACGCATATATTTATGAATAATATCTCAAGTCTTTTGGGAATAGAGGTCATTCAGAGGTTTGAGAAACATCTTCTACTTTGATTGAATGTTTCATCATGCACATAAGTGCTTGAAGTCGTGGAGATGATGAGCAGAACAGTTTTAGGAAGAAATTTTGTTCCACAAAAGGGTTGATAAACCTGCAGGTTTTACCCCTGAGCAATCACGTTATGCCTGTCCAGTTTCCTAATTTTCTGTGACTCCCCCAAACTCACTAAATCCCTAATTCTCTAAGAATTTCTATAATTGGGTTCCCTTAGTAATGCTTTATTTATTGAAATAAATGCTACATGGTAAATGGAATTATTTCATTACCTGTTTGAGATGAAGTAGGATCCTTTTCTTATATCTATAGAAAAATATCTAACTTTGTGCATTAATTTTTTAACAGCCCAAAGCCTTGAAACTACTGGGAATGGAGGTAGGTGTTTGCTCAAATTATTAGTGTCAATTATTTAATCTCTTTGTTACACATTTTAGATATATAATAACTTCATTTCGGTGGTGAGGATAAGTACATAATTCTGCAATAAGGAAGTGACATTTTTCCCAGTGGTGAGGGGACAGATCACAGTAGCTTTGAAAATTTCACCATGGAGGTTGTATTAGCATTGCAAACAAGGAAATAAATCCTATTTGAAATACGAACTTGAAAACCAAGGAAGCATATATATTCCAGTAAGCAAAATCTATTCATGAGTGTTTACAAATGGCAACAAACCCTAAGGCCAGAAATACTTCACCGATGCACCTAATGAGGAATGCAGAAACTCCAGAAAGGCTTCCTTCCTCCCATCTTTTGTTAATGTGGTTATTGTTGTGTGCGAATGCAAGTCCTTGTCCTTTGAGAGAAAAGGGTAGTAGGGCTGTCCATCATGCATGACAAATAACCCTACCTGCAGAGGGGGAAAGGACAAACGTAAAAAGAAAAAGAAAATGGCCCATTGAACATACTTTTTCTAATTTAAAGTATAACAATGGCATGTTCCCATAGGACTGTGCTTATGCTCTTCTAACTCATTTTAAATTAGCCATGTATGAGCTTGAGCATTCTTTTAGGATTGGAGCTAGGAGAGGATACAGGTATACCTCAGACATATCGTGGTTTCAGTCCCAGACCACCGCCATAAAGCAAGTCGTGACCTTTTGTCTTCGATGTGTAGAAAATGCGACATCTGGGAAGTGCAGAAAAGTGAAACACAATCAAATGAGGTGTGCCAGTAGTTCACTTATGGATCTGTCAGAGCTGGACTAGTAGTAAATATACAATCACTGCTGACTGAATTTCATTGATTCATTTCTAACTCCATCTCTGGTTTCTCTCCCTCTCCCCCACTAAAATCACAGGATGATGTTCCCTTGAGGAGAGGAAGAAAGACAACCAAGAAACGTGAAGAAGAGGTAGACATTGACCTGGATGACCCTGAGATCAACCACTTTCCTTTCCCTTTCCACGAGCTGATGGTGTGGGCCGTCCTGATGAAGCGGCAGAAAATGGCCTTGTTCTTCTGGCAGCATGGCGAGGAGGCCATGGCCAAGGCCCTGGTGGCCTGCAAGCTCTGCAAAGCCATGGCTCATGAGGCTTCCGAGAACGACATGGTGGATGACATCTCCCAGGAGCTGAACCACAACTCCAGGTCAGCCAGCCTGGAAAAAGGGGTGGTCAGGGGACAAAAAGGGAAGGTGGGCCCCAAATATTGGATGGAGGGTCTCAGCTCCCCAGAACTTGAAGGCAAGGCAGTATCGCCCCAATGGTACCGAGAGAGGGTAGACATGAAGAATTACTGTTGCCCAGCTGGCATGGCTCAGTAGTTGAGCATCAACCTATGAACCAGGAAGTCAAGGTTCAATTCCTGGTAGGGGCACATGCCGGAGTATGGGCTCGATCCCCAGTGTGGGGTGTGCAGGAGGCAGCCAATGAATGATTCTCATCATTGGTGTCATTATTGATGTTTCTATCTCTCTCTCCCCCTCCCTTCCTCTCTGAAATCAATAAAAATATATTTTTTAGAAAATAATTACTGTTTATGGTATACAGCACTAGCTATGGCGGTACAAACAGATTATAAAAGATTTCATTTCATCCTCTCAACATGTCTGGTATTTTCACTGTAGGCATATTTGCCATAAACATCGTTGCTGCAAGCATTTTTAGCAGGTAATCAGTTGTAAAGAAATTTTGCCATAAGAGATAAAATAATGAAAAACAAAAGAAGGACATTAAAAATGATATCATGGAATGTGAAAAATTATTAACAAAATTTGAAAACTGTTTTGCAAAAAATGTAAATGAATCGCCTTCGAAGTCTTTCATTTATAGTATCATATATACTTTTCTTTTATATTTGCCATAATGTGGTGAACGTTCAGTTCTGCTGGATGGGAGGATGACTGTGGTGACTGAATGATATGCAAACTGATATGTTATCATTGTCTAGCACAGTGTGCAATCTGGCTTTAAATGTAGTTTTTAATGGGCATTAAAAACTGTTTTAAGACCACCACATCTACTCATCGTTTTATAGACCATTATGAGGGCTAAGATTTAGATAATGTAAAAATGGAAATAACTGTAAGAACCTCCTCCATGGAGGAATGAAACTAAACTGACAACTATTAATAGCTTAAATAAATTCTGTCAACCATAAGCCAAACTGTCCACCGTTTGATCTTTTATGGCGAAATTGCCTTACAGCCAATTAGGTGTGCAACAAAAATGATTACAGCAAATACACCTAGAACCCCGCCCCAAAAGATCCTCTGGTTATGCATATTTTACAGCTAAAGGAAATAAGTAGAATTTAAATAACTCATCCAAGATGACAACTTTGTGGCTAGGCTCAGATTTGAACTGAGGTCTGAAGAAGACACACTGCACTCTAATCATTGATTTATTGATCTGCCATCATCATCCATATACCTTGAATTGAGGGCCTTGAATGCAGGGGTCATGCCTTGTTCGACTTACACCCTTGGTTTTAAAAACAGTGTCTGGCACATCTAGCTGTTTAATGGATGATGGCTGGATGAATGAGTGAAGAGACTAGATCCCATGAAAAACAACTAGACCATTCAGAACCCACCTTTTTTGGCTTGGCCAGTGGGTCTCCAAGATGACCCTTCACATTCTCTTTTTCAGGGACTTTGGCCAGCTGGCCGTGGAGCTCCTGGACCAGTCCTACAAGCAGGATGAGCAACTGGCCATGAAGCTGCTGACATACGAGCTCAAGAACTGGAGCAACGCCACATGCCTGCAGCTCGCGGTGGCTGCCAAGCACCGCGACTTCATCGCACACACGTGCAGCCAGATGTTGCTCACAGACATGTGGATGGGCCGGCTCCGGATGCGCAAGAACTCAGGCCTGAAGGTCAGTGCACCCTGAAGGCCCTATGGGCTGCGAGCACCAGAGGGTTGGTTGGAGTTTTCCAAGCTGAATATGCAGTGGGGTTAGGCATTTTCATTATCTCAGGAGGGTGACTCTACACTCCAACTGCATCAGGATCTTCTGTGTAGTAGTGCTTTTTTGTTTTGTTTTGTTTTGTTTTGTTTTCATGTAGAGGCTAAGACCTCCTCTAAATATTGTTAAATCAATAGAAATGGTGCCTAGACATGACTATTTTTCAGAAGATCTAACATGTGACAGCCTCACTCAGGTTCTGTAGGGGTACCATGTGTTCTGGCACAAGCTACACTATACAATGAGTGGCTTTCCTGGGCAACTGTTCACTGCGAGGGAGATGGAATGCCCTGGCCTCCTTTACACCGGTCAAAAGAGACATCGGCTCATATTCAACTATCCCTGAGAAATCGTTTAAACTGAAATAAGAGTGAGATAGATTTATATGTAAAGACATTGCTGGATAATCTTGATCTATTCTCAAATGAAGAAAAACAAGTTGCAGATCATCACATATGTAACCTGAGACCATTTTTTGTTTTTTTAAAGCATGTACATGTATAGTTATGATCGTATAGATGATGTTTTAAACACACACACACACACACAAAACAAAACAGAAACAATACACAGTAAATTGCAGTGTTCCCTCTACTAGGGTTGAAGTATAAGGATAATGTGTGGCTTTGCCTTTTATGTTCTCTTAATGCTTTTTAAAGAAAACATTGAACTGAAAGAAGCAAAAGAAAGGCAAAAATAAGGGAAGATGAAATGAATGTGTTAAAATAGTTTATCTGTTTAGAGTTTGTGGCTGTTTCAAGTGAAACCAGGCTCATGTTTACCTAGAACTACCTGATCTGGGTAACTTTGAGAGCAGCCCAAAGCAGAAAGGATCATTGAGGCCATGAGGCCAGAGGGATCACTGAGGCCACCCTGGCTGAACCAGCACCCCCTCCTCTATTCCACCCTTCCATGGCTCTTGGCCAGGAGTCACAGAAGGTTGCCATGAAGTGGGTCAAGGGTGTTCCCTAGCTGTGCTGCTGGTGACCGCCAAGCCTGGCTACCAGCTCCAAGGACAGGGTGTCACGTCCCCTCAAGGCTGCCAGCAGGCCACCTGAGCTTTCCCAGCCTGCCAGGCACCCTGAGTTCAGGGCCATCACTCCCTTTTTCCTTAGCTGCTCCAGAGTCCCTGCGGGCATTTGAGCATGGGTTGTCCTTTGCTTGTTATTTGAGAATTATTTTTACTTACCCTCCAGGATCCTCTTTGCCCCTCACCTCGGATCATATTCTGGAACCTTGTGCAATAGAACCATTTTAGAATTAGGGAAGAGGTGGGAGATTTAGGAAATACAAGTCAGATGTCAGTACTATCACTCAGAAATACATTGCCCTGGCAAACTGAGAATGGGGTTGCTTCTTGTGAAAAAAGGCCCGGGGATTCAGTATTGTCACAGGGAGACTTAAGCGTGTTGTTTTATACATGAGAAAAATACAGTGTGGGACGCTGTAATTGAACAGGGGCTTCTTGTGGTGAATACAGAGCCTGCTAGGGTGTGTATGTGTGTGTTTCGGTGGGATAGTAGTAGATACCAGGGGGAAGCTCTAAAGTGAATAAAATGCTTTCCGACGTGGACTTTCTCAAGATCAACTTAGGATAGCATTTTTTTAGAGATAATCAGATGACACGATCAACTCCAATTGTCACACTAGCAAATAAATGCCAGTGGATATAAGTATAAATTGATTTCACCAATTAAGTGCTGTTTAGTGGCTAAATGGGAAACTCAGTTCTTTCCCACTTCTGCCTTGGGTAGGCTCTCTCTTTTTCCTCAGTTTCCACCATGCAAAGTGAGTTTAATTGGGTAATATATATTTTGGTAAGATACTTTGTTTCACCAAAATCAGATTGAGCTACTGGGCACAATGATTATAGGTATTTTTTGCAGAGCTGCTTTGCCACAAACATGTTTGCCACAAAACTAATTGGCCACAAGACAATTTTTCTGTACAAGATAAGATCTTTAAAATTAACAAACTCATAGGTAGAGAGCAGGCAGACAGCTCTAGTGGGACTGAGTGTTCGGGGAGGTGGAGAGATTGAGCAAAAAAGAAAAAAAAGAGAAGAAACTCATGGACACAGGCAACCATGTGGTCATTTTGGGAAGAGGAGGTGGGGAGAGGGGGATGGGGGGATTTGAAGATGGAAGAGCATATGGGGGGTAAATGATGGTGGAAAAATAAATAAAAGAAAGAAAAATAAAATAAAAAGGGACATTAAAAAGGACATAAGATCCATTTTTCATAACAAAATTAAGAAGATTATTATGAAATTCAAAATATCTGAATTCATTTAAAACATGTGTAGATTCATGATAATACTGTGCAAATAACCCGTTTTATCTTGTGGGTTGTACTTAAGCACTTACACACTCATTGCCTATTGATCTGTCTCTTCTTTCGAGCTGAGCTGCTTACCTATTGTTTTTATTCTTGGCATAGTGTCACATGTCTATTGATAGACATTCCAAAGTTCTGTGAGAAATGTGAGTTCAACTCCTCACTTTCGAATATGTCAGTTATCATATTCTAATATAGCATGAAATCTGGCCTCATACTCTCTTATTTCACACTTTCAGTAAGTTTGTCACTAAATTTTCTATCAAGTTGATATACATAGTTATCATTCACTATTTTAAGACCGCCATGTCTAGTCATCACTGTATAGACCAATATGAGGGCTAAAATTTATGTAATATAAAAATGGGAGTACACTGTCAACCCAAACTGTTGACCATTTACTTTATCTTTTATGGCAAAATTGCTTTACGGCCAATTAGTTTTACAGCAAAAATGCTTTCAGTAAAGATGTTTACAGCAAAGAAGCTTATTGTAAAAATATCCTACATGGTGCATAACAGTTCCCAGGTTGACACAAACGATTCTCGTAGCATTAATATACATAGTTATTCAAATATTCAGGTCCTCACGTGGGGCATACACACACACACACACACACACACACACACACACACACACACACCACCCCCAGGCCCTCTGAGTCTAAGCAACCACTCTAATCTTAATCCCTTAAATGTGATTATTATTATTATCATTATTATTACTTTAGGTAATTCTGGGAATTCTACTTCCTCCTTCAATTCTCAGCTTGGAGTTCAAGAACAAAGACGACATGCCTTATATGACTCAGGCCCAGGAAATCCATCTCCAAGAGAGGGAGCCAGAGGAACCAGAAAAGCCCACGAAAGAAAAAGATGAAGAGGATATGGAACTGACAGTAAGGAAATGCTCCTCAGTTACTGCCCATGGGGACAGTCCCTCATCCCATTGATATGGCTTAAGATTGATATGGCTTAACCCATTGATATGGCTTAAGATTCAGTAACTCTTGAGGTCAGCCTCCCACCAGCTGCTTTCATTTGAGTAGTGAGATCAGGGTATTATGAAAGTGTCCTCTCTACGCACAAATAATATGACTCTGGGAAGTAATTGTGTGTGAAATTCTTCAACCAGGGTCAGTGGTACAGGACAACCCAATGAAATTCAAAAGCAAGGCACCCTAAATTTTCCCATCAGGCAGTGCGGTATTAACAGCCAGGTGATGTGGCAGCCTCAGCACTTGAGGAAAGTAAGGAGAGTGGTGATTTGGGAGCAGCCGGCTTCACTGAGCTGGAACTCTTCTTCTGATCAGAAGCTGAGCCTTTATCCGTCGTCAGGGTCAGGCTCAAAATGAATTGAATTCTGAGGTTTGTATGGAAGGTTTTTCTTAGCTCTTCCTGGTGTAATTATAGAGCATGGATGCTTTGTTCTGCAGGGCAAACGGGGCAGCTGGGCATGGGACCGCTTCCCGCAGCCCCCGCCGGAGCAGCGTGACTGCCGCTGGATCGTAGACAAGGTCTAAAAATATCACAGGCTGTTAAAGGGACAAACAAGGCTTCATAGCCTTGGAGACATCAGGCACCAACTCCACAGGACCTCCTTGCTGTGCCCCACCCTCCCGAACCCTCCCACCGGTCACTGTGATGGCCCAGAGAAGCCGTAAGGGGAGAAAACAAAAATTGGTTTTGCTCAGGTGACAAAAGGCCTTTGCATTATTATCCTAGGAGGACACCTCTGTGAATTGCTTTTTCCTCCAAATAAACACTATTTCTTTCCACTAGGCCCTTTCCAAAGATCTTTTTTGAGGCACCATTTCAGCCTCGTGTGTAACAGGGTATATACATCGGGACGCTCTTTTGATTGATAAATCATTCGCAGCTTTTGACTCATTGAGTTGAGAGCCAATGTTTGCTTTCGGTTTCAATGTGTAAAAATTGGTGGTCTACTTCCCTCTGTGATAGGGGTGACTGTCTTCCCCAAGGATCTTACCATATTTTTGGCCTCTGTACCCTTCAAGGATAGGACATACTTTATGAGCAGAAGCGTTGTAGTACCCTGTTTCCCCGAAAATAAGACAGCATCTTATATTAATTTTTTCTCCCAAAGTTGCACTAGGTCTTATTTTCAGGGGATGTCTTATCTTTCCATGCGCTAGGTATTATTTTCGGAGGATGTCTTATTTTCGGGCCAATACGGTAGTACTACAGGATCTTCATGCCAGCTTCAGCAGAGGGGTAAAGAGTGTGTGCCCTGGATCCAGAATCCTGCCCCATCACCTACTCACTGTGGAACCAAAGACACAGTGTCTTAACCTCTAACATGGGAATAATAATAACTTACAGGTGCATGTAGACTATATAAAAAGTGTGCCTGTAAACCATGTACACTGGTGTCGAACACATGGTAAGCCTTGATTAAACAGTGCTAAGTGCTTCACATGCATTTACTGGTGGAGTCCTCACAGCAGTCCCACCAGTAGGTACTACCATGTTTCCCCGAAAATAAGACATCCTCCGAAAATAAGACCTAGCACATGGAAAGAGAAGACATCCCCTGAAAATAAGACCTAGCGCAACTTTGGGAGAAAAAATTAATATAAGACACTTATTTTCGGGGAAACGGTATTATTTATCCCATCTTACAGATGAGGAAGCCGAGACTCAGAGAAGTTAAATTGCCAAGGATACTCAGCTAATTAGTTGTAAAGCTGGCATTAGAACCCAGGCATAGAGATTTCATTGGCCCTGCTTTTAGCTGATAGGCTAAGGAATGCTAAATTTTTGTCCCAGTCTCAAATGTAGGCACTCGGCTGGTTTGGTCTACCATGTAGCAGAGAGGATCTGAAAGTGATGCAAGGGACTCCTATATCAAGTATGGCAAGGCCTTGACATTGGCGTACTTCCTAGGAAAACTTGAGGGAGGATTTTAGGAAGGTAGCCAGAAGCTGAAGGCAGTATTTTTTCTTGTTGGGTCTCAAAGAAGAAAACAAAGAAGGCAGCTTCCTTCTCCTGCTCAGTCAAGCAGGGGTGGGGAATGTCTGGCTCTTGGGCTGAATAAGGCCTGTGAAATCATTTTGTTTGGCCCTGCCAAGGCATTAGAGGTGGGTTAATTAAATGTTTGACCAAATATAGCAGGCTCATTTTTAAGTTGATAATTCTGTATGGATGCAAATGTTATAAATATCCAAATGGCCCTTAGCAGGAAAAAAAAAAAAAAAAAAGGTTCCCCATGCATGTTCTAGAGCTTTGGGAACCTGACCCTTCAAGAAGCCACAGTAAAGATGCATCTCTGGGCTGAGACTAAGTCTGCTTCTCGGAGAATAGACCCTGGGTATTTACTGAGAACACAAGTAGAAGCCACCAACATGGCATTGCTGCTCGAGCTTCTTCCCCATGGGCTGGAAGGACAGGGAGAAGGGAAGGAAGGATGGCAGTTGTCTTCAAGGTAGGACTTCCTTTGATCCTACTGATAAATGTTGTCACAGCTCGGACCCTGGACAGGACTGGAGAATGCAGCTTGTTGACACCTCTGCTCTTTTTATAGGATTAATATTTGACCGTGTAAAACTAGTATTTCCTCTCTTAGAATGGGACCGTTTTTCTTGGCCCTTCCAAAGCTGTACATGAAATATCAGCCTTCCATTGCTAATTTTAGGAGCACTTAATAGCTTAGTTCACCTCAACAGATCTCACCCAGACTTGACATCTGTGTTCAGGTAGCAGTGATTTTTCAAATTCATATTGTGCAGTTTTGTCTGTATTTGGCCCTGTTACATTCTGCTTTAAGGAATGTAGGCAAAGGAAATGTTTGACTACTGGGGAGGGAAATTAACAAGATCAGCAAATTAAGCTGCTTGGCTGGAACTAATAAAATATCAAAAATGCTTTATTTGGCCCCAGGTGGGTAGCTCGGTCGCGATTAGAATCATCCTGATACTCCATAGTTGCAGGTTCGATCCCCTGTCAGGGGACATGCAAGAATCAATCAATGAATACATAAATAAGAGGAACAACAAATTAATGTTTCTCTCCCTCTCTTTCTTCCTCTCTCCCTCTCTCTCTCCCTAAAATAAGTAAATTAGGAAATCATTTTTAATACTTAAACTCATAAAAGACAAGCCATTTAAAAATGCATCCATGTTCAAATATATCTGAACAATAAAGGCAAAACAGGTTGTTGTATTTTTGTTTTTGTTTGACCTGCATTGCCAGATAAAAGTCTTGCATTTTGCCTAATGAAATCTCACATGTTCACAGGCCCAGGGCATCGTTCTGACTCTGTTGGGAAAGCTGCTGTCCCTAGAGGTTACCTGAAGATGCCACTCTCCAAGATGCCTAAACCCTCCCAACTGCCTTTACTCTCACCTCACTGGGTCCCCAAATAGCGTTGTATTGTTGAGCACATAAATAAGCAAACAGAAGTAGGGTAATTGTGTTTATGTTAAATAAATTATAAAGTTATACAGGGACAAATATGTAGCCTCAGAGTTTCTTGGAGCCGGTGATCAATATTTATGAAACTCTATTGCTTTCTAGTTTACTATATCCATCACGAAGATTGATTCAACTTACTGACCAAAACCAACTCCTAACTAGGCCAGAGAATAGAATGGTACCTATTCATTAACTCGAGGTACTTTTCTAGCCAAAGGGTCCATAAAGGAATGGACATTACCTTCTCCAGAAATCCTGTTGGTTACAGGCAAATCATTTGTGATTGATAGATATGTGAGTGATGTGGATATTTGAGACAATGACAAAAATAGTCAAAGCTAATATTTTATACTAGAGGCCTGGTGCACGAAATTCATGCATGGGTGCGATCCCTAGGCCTGGCCGGCGATCAAGGCGAGAGCGTCTGGCATGGAATGGCAGGCCCCCAGCTGACCTCTGGCCCCTGGACAGCATCTGGGCCCCAGACCCCCATGCACCCCATTCTGCCTGAGTCATGGAGCCTGAGTCCCCATGCAGAAATGTGGTGAGCACAGAACGCCTCGGACTGGGGCACAGAGGGGGCCTCTGGGCCGCCCAGCAGTGCTGCACAGAAGCCAGGCGTAAATGAGCACATTGAACCCCATGACCTCCAGAGCCTTGCTGTGATGGTATTCATCCCCTTCCACTGCAGGCAATGTTGGGACGAAGCAACGGGGAGTCTTCCAGGAAGAAGGATGAAGAAGAAGTTCAGAGCAGGCACCGGTTAATCCCCTTGGGCAGAAAAATCTATGAGTTCTACAATGCCCCCATCGTGAAGTTCTGGTTCTACACTGTAAGTATCTTGCCTTTTCTTCTTCCTAATGCATGGCCACAAAGGGCCAACGTCCATTTCTCATGCACCTGCATGGTGTCCTCTGTGAGTCATAAATATGAACACCACACAGGCATAAACAAAAGCTCTAGGGCGACCTTGCCTTTTCCAATAGCTTAGAAAGATTTGTGGAGTCTGTGAGCCAGCTTCCATAGCATCTACGTTTCTGCTCCTCACAGAAAATAAAGGAAATAGTGAAAGTGAGCAGTTACAGAAATAGAGGTGAGATGAATATGAATCTAGTCTAGCAGGAAAATAGATGTCATTTTATAAAATGCTTCCCTCTTTTAGATGGATGAGCGCTGGATTAGAGTTCCTGGTTGCATATTTTTTGTTTGTTTGTTTTTTATTGGTGAGAGAGAGAGAGACAGAGAGAAACACTGATTTTTATTGTTCCACATATTTATACATTCAATGGTTGATTCTTGTCTGTGCCCTGACCAGGGATCAAACCTGCAACCTTGGCATATCAGGACAACTCTCTAACCAACTGAGCTGCCAGGACTCCAGAGTTGCCTGTGTTAGATGCCAGTGCCATTTTTGGGGGATATTGTGGGTATGGGCTTAGCAGAGTGTTAGTAACACCACTGAAAATGAGTGTGTCATCACGCCCCATCTGGCAGTTTCATCGAACAACCTTTCTTGCTCTGATGCAAACTGCTAAAGCAAACTGCAATCCTGGCAAATACTGCTCAGTGAGCACACCCTGCAGACACTGTCTGCCCATAAGATGAAAGACCGTCTCTGAAATAGCCTCCTGGTATGGTAGAAATGGCTCGCCTGTTGGGTTTCTACTTCTACTTTTCAACGATATTTCAAGTTTAAGGTGAGCTGTGGCCCAGGTCATGTCTGCTTCTCTCTGGCCACAGTGGAGCTGTGCCAGGCGAAGGAGAGTACGTCTGTACTTTTGGCCTTTCTCACAACCAGCTACTCACCAGTCCCTGAGTCAGCAACAGGATAACCCGAGGCTGAGGCCACAGTGACTCAAATGACCAGCTGAGGTGCTTTCCGTGCGGTGCTGCATGCTAGCACTGCATGCTGGCATTAAATGGGGCTTTCTCGGCACTGAGGACATTGGGGGTAGAGTAATTCCATGTTAAGAAGGCCTGTCCTGTGTATTGTAGCAGCACACTGACCACTTCACACCCAGTTATGTCTTGTCCCCACACACTGCCAGATGTCCCCTTGTGGGGTAAAATCCCCACCAGTTGAAAATTCCCACTTAAACATACAGTCTTGAAAGAGGATGGGTATTATCAAAATATAAAGATTGACTTTTTTTTAGTGAAGCAAAATTTAAATGTATTGATTTTTTTTAATTTTCTCTTAAAAAATAACAAGGCATGGAGAATTTATTTCTATGCATGTGCACATAGAGATGTTTGTTATTTTTACCTTGCAGAAAACAACTTAGTAGTGACAAGCTTGGACTTTGGAGTCACACAGCCTGAGTAGAAATCCTGACTTAGTAAAGAAACTTGTGACTTCAAGCCAATTCCTTTAGTTCTTTGTCCCCAGCTTTCTCAAGGTTGGGGGTAACCACAGTGCCTCCTGCAGGAAGTTTAGTAAAGATTAGATGTGTTAAAATGGGTAAAGCACTGAGAACAGTGCCTGAGCGCACCTTGTTCTCCTAGGCTAGTTCCACTGAAGGGCAAGAGTTAGTGTTTTATTCATCCATCCACTCAACAATAATAAAATGTCATTTACTGAACACCTACTATGTTCTAGGTGTTTCTATACACTTTCCCGAATGTAATAGTTTCATCAAGGTAATATTTTCACTGTCCTTCCTCTTATCTGCTAGTAGGGCTGCCCTGGTGTCTTGCCTAGATTAGGGCTTGGCAAGCTGGAACTCATAGGCCCAATCCAGCCACTGCCTGTTACTGTGGCCCGCAAGCTAAGAATGGACTTACATTCATAAACACTTGAAACAAAATCAAAAGAAGAATACTCTGTGACACATAAAAATTATATAAAATTTATATTGCGGTGTCCATAAAGTTTTATTAGAACACAGCCAATTTACTCATTCACCTACACCCTGGCTGCTTTTATGCTGAGTGGATTACTTGCTTCAGAGCCCATCAGATCAACAAAGCCTTAAAAATGAACTCTCTGGCCCTTTACAAAACATTTGCAGGTCCCTGACTGAGAGCAGACACCAAGCCAGTAGCAGAATTACCCATCACTTTATGAAGAACACTCACTTCTCTGGTCCTTCCACCAAGGCATTTCTCTTTTTTTCTTGACCTGTGTTCAGTATTCACTCTATTTCCTTGATTACTCCAGTCCCCATTTTTTCTCCTCTGAGGCAAGTTGTTAGCCAAGAAGATTTTTAAATCACACATGCCCTGGCCAGTGGTTCTCAGCCTTGGCTATACATTCATGAAATTCTGACGGCATCGGCATGGGGCCCAGCCTGGGCACCAGGATATGTCAGAGCCCCACGGCATTCTCAATGAGCAGCCAGAGCTGGCAACCACCACCCCAGACGGAGGGCCCAGTGTTCCATTATAAGGGATTTGTTGGAAATACAAATATGGGGCCCCATTGCAGATCCTCTAAATTAAGTGTCCAGGGAGAGGAGCTGAGAGGCTGTGTGTGTAACAAGCTTCCCAGGTGAGTCTGGTGGTCCCGGAAACCGAATGCACTGCTTTCCTTGTTTCAGAGGCGGCTGGCGGGGAAGCCACCTCTCTGAGGAGTGGGGGCGTGTATCCGCTCCTTCCACGTGGCTGGCTGGATCAGCCTCAGGAAACCCATCAGATTGGGTGCTCCAGTCATGTTTGATTGTGTTTACATGATTTTCAGAAATCCTTATTTAAGTATTGACAAAGCCCAACCTAAAGGAAGTAAATGGAGATGGGGGTGTCAACCTTTTAAATCTCCAGGGATGGTTCACCATAAAAGTCAGCGTTAGGTCACACAGTGCTGTGTGGTTTCGGTGTGTTCTCTTCTGTAAGAGTGTTTCCCAGACTTAATGCCAAAAGTGTCTCCTTCTACACACTCAAGGTCCTCAGAGTGAGACACACCTCGTGTGCACATAACCTCACTTGTAGGTCATAGTGAGTTTCTGGAGGAGCCAGTTGGGGCCCCTTCTGCCCCAAGAGGAAAGGAGGGGAGGGACCCAACTGGCTCGCAGGCTGTGTCTGTGATCAGAGCTGCTTCAAGTGCCCAGTTAGAGAGGATGCCAATTCAAGGTGTGGGATGGCCCCACGTCAGAGGGCAGGGCATGTGCCCTGGTCAGCAGGGACAGACTCCTTCCTATAAAAACGCCATGTGACCCCTCCACTCTCAAGGGGCAGTAGGAAAAGGAGGCAAGGGATGGCACAGCCCCACCAGGGATCCACAGGCAGCTGCAGCAGGCTTTGGCGCTTGCATTTCATGGTTTAGGAGTCATACATCTTGGTTAACGGAACATTTCTAAAAAGGTTATATAAGCATACAAATTGGCTTCACTAAGAATCATAAGGTTATATTCCTTTTCAAAGCTTTGGCATTCTACATAGAGCTTGAGAAAACTCACAGAATATCTGTGTGAACACACACACACACACACACACACACACACCATTAAAGTATGTCATGTTGAGGTCTGCAGCCGGCTCTGTGAATCTCGGCAAGTTCTAAGGTAGGTTGTTTCCAGCACAGCAGCTGCTCCTCCGTTGTGCTGTTTAAACATGTTTAAAGCCCTGCTTGTGGGTGTTAGCCACCATTCTCTGTGTCCGGAGGTAAATGCATATCCCCTCTCACAAACACCCCAAACCTTTCAAAAGCTCTGTAAGGTCAGGAGCCATCATCTCCATTTCCCAGAATGGAGGGCCAAGCACGTGAAGTGAAATCACAAAATGATGCAGCCAGCGAGTACCTGAGATAGGATTGAAATCCAAGTTTTTCTGACTTCTGCGTCTCCATTCCTTTCCCAAACACTGTTCCTCCCACCAAACAAACACACTAGGCCCGTGTTGGAGCGCAGAGGCGGTTGGAGGAGCTACAGGCACACCTCAGTTATGGCACTTGGCTTTACTGCTCTTCACAGGTGCTGTGTCTCTTACTAATGGAAGGCAAGGCCCTCCCCCGGCAAAAAGATAATGATTGGCTTTATTGTGACCCCGCTCTATTGCAGTGGCCTGGAACTGAACTGCAGGATCTCCGGTTGCTTGCCTGTACTTAAGTACTAAAATGCAGAGGTCCTGAAAGAATGTGTGTGTCACTGGGCCTACATGTGGCAAGAGAAGAAAATGCTTTGTAATGTTTTGCAACAAATTGGGTGAAATGATAAAAACCAGGGCAGTTAACAAGATTCATTTCACCTAGAAGTCATAGAACATAATCCAATAAGAGAAAGAAGCAGGGAGAAGGGTTTCAGGTCCAGAAGGAGGCTGATAGTACATTTTCGAGTTTAACCATCGAAGTCCTTTTCTTTATGCCGCTTGTAAAAAGCCATAGGCACAGGGACCGGAGTGTGTAATGGTAACAGTAACCAGGTGAACCAAATGCCATTTTAAACCAACCCACGTGATTTCAGGTCCGGTACACTCTTTTCAGGTGAGGCGCTCACGATGAGCTAATGATCCTGAGGGAGTGGGGGAGGCACTGAGCCGTGGTTAAAATGACAGTCCCGGGGGGAGGGGAGGGGGGGCGGTGCAGGAACAAACTTCCCTGTAGGCCCTCCAGCATCTCCAAAACTGCTCTCCTGCTCCCACATGTGATCTCACTGAACCCCAACCTAAATGCCTACCCTTCAAGAGATGAGAAATTATATGGCTGTGTTTATAAATGTGTCAGTGTAATAGGATCTCCGAAAATACCTTTGGCTCATATTAAGAATCTATGTATTTTCAGAAGAAAGGAAGGGAGGAAGGGAGGAAGGAAAGAAGGAAGGAAGGAGGGAAGGAAAGAAAGAAGGAAGGAAAGGAGGGAGGAAGGGAGGGAGCCCATTAGTAGAGAAAGCAGCATTTCTCTAGCTCTGTAGGCTGCCAGCTTCTCATTGTATCTCGCAGCCTCTTTCTCCACCTTCCAAGCTGCCCCCAGGCTGCAGGGTCAGGCTGTGTCTCCTGAACCTCAAGGCCTCAATCCTTTGCCCACATTGTGTCCCATTTGCTATGCAGGCTCCAAAGAGTACAGAAGATTTGAATAAACTCACTCTTCCTTCCACAGCCCCTCAGCCCCTGAAGCCACAGGTGCCTTCCTCAGCTTGAAGCTATGCCTAGAAAAGGTTTAGCTTATATGCCATTTCCCGTAGGTGAGTCTTTCCTCCTAAGCTCCTGACCCCTGTGCTCACCAGGCCTCCCACATTCCGGCCATTAGACATCACTGAAGCCACCAGGGACATCACCAAACCTGAACCCCGAGTCTCCCAGGGACACCCAGCGAGTGAGCCAGCCAGTCCCAACAGGGTTCAGCCTCTGATGCCACTTATGCCAGTGCCCCATGAGCTCACTCCGAGCTGACAGTCAACCACACAGTCAGCCATTCCTCTCAAAAACATTGCTTTGTTTTCTATTGTTTTGTTTCAAAGAAGCAGACATCAGGAAAGAATATTCCAACTTGACTAGGGCAGGGAGGTGGTGCAATGAGAAACAGGTAAAGCCCTGCCAGGGCACTGCCAGGCCAACCACCATAAGGTAGGAGGAGGAGGGGGGAAAGAGACAGTATCTCAGAAGAGAATTCAAGTCCGGCTTCTAGATAAAGTCCGGGCTATTTTTGTGTTGGCTTGACCGATTTACTTCTTCTTTTCCTTCTTACGGACATTCAATCCACCTGGCACTCGTTAGGCACAGATCCACTGTGCTGCCCTAGTTCAAGAACCTCAGGCTCATGCAATGAGCAAGCGCAGCCCTGGTGAGAAGAGGTCCCCTTGTTAGCCAGGGAGACGTGAGAGGCTGGGGTCCTTGCAAAACGAAGGGATGCCTCATGACTCAGAGACAATGGGAGAGTCCCAAGGGAGATTGCATATCACATTATTTCCAATATTACCATCTTCTTAGTATATCCTCCTGAGAGTTTAGAGCTTTGACGCTCATGAGTTCGGAGTCTTGCTCACTGACCTTGTTCTTGCCCGGCCGTGAGGTAGCCTTGCCCAAGGGCAGGGCTGCGGGGACTTGCAGCCAGAGCACCGTATTGTGTTTCCTTACAGCTGGCGTACATCGGCTACCTGATGCTCTTCAACTATATCGTGTTAGTGAAGATGGAGCGCTGGCCTTCCACCCAGGAATGGATCGTCATTTCCTACATTTTCACCCTGGGCATAGAAAAGATGAGAGAGGTAACCACTTCCATAAAAAAAAGAACTGAGGGAAAAGACAGTGGGTGGTTACATCTGGGCGAGGAGGGGCGAGGGGGACACTCCAGATCTGAGCAAATGCAGAACTTGAAAGAAAAGGTTCTCTGACGTGGCCACAGAAATGTGGATGTGGCTTCGAGGGCTGCTGACAACCCTGGGGAGGCTTCCCAGCATGTTTGCAGGGTGGTCATCCATGAGCCCCAGGGATTAGTCCATTTCCTGCTCACATAGCATTTGCCTAGGAATCCCTCAAGTTGTCTTCAACACTGTTTACTGATGTGTTTGTTTTTAAATATATTTTTATTGATTTCAGAAAGGAAGGGAGAGGGAGAAACATCAATGACAACAGAAAACCCATTGGTTGGCTGCTTCCTGCACACCCCACACTGGGAACTGAGCTGGCGACCCGATCATGTGCCCTGACAGGGAATCGAACCGTGACCACCTGGTTCATAGGTCAATGCTCAACCACTGATCTATACTGGCTGGACTGTTTGCAAGTGTTTACTTCTCCCTATAAACATGACTTTTTAAGTTTTTCCACTTTTTATATATGTTTTTAAACGTTTAAATCTTTTCACTTTTAACTCCTATTGCAAACCCTTCCCTCTGGGTGTCTCTTTGAACAGGGTGCACCAATACCTATGATTCTCCGAAGTGCGTTTTAGCTGTTCTAGTAAGTTAATTTATTCCTTCTCAATATTTGTTATAGACTTTCTGAGCACCAGCCCTTGGCATCACTGGAGTGAACTGAGCCTATTTCTCACCCTTCAGGTTGAGAGTGTAGATCCCTCTCTTTACCCTCCCCACCACCACACCCCTCCTACCCACCCCCCGGGGAGTTAAAGGAGCCATCATAACACCACCCCTGCAGGACACTGGAAGTCAGCGGAGAGGCCATCACATTCAGAACTGCTCAGATGAATGAACAGTCCACCAGAGGGCTCTGCAGCCCTGCTCACAGCCTCCCCAAGCTCCCGTTCCCAGTCCCACAGGGAAGGCAAGCTTGTGGGTATGATTCCTCTGCATTTCCCCCTGACACTACACTGCAGAGAGGCCTTTTCTGGAAGAATGCTCCTGTCACGTCGACTGCTCCCTCTATCCAGAACATCCTACTCTCTGTATCACAGTGAGTGGGGAAATACATTGAGTTCCACGGGAAAAGGGATTCGTGCGAATCCACAAATCCATCATGGTTTTCGTTGCTAAAATAGGTTAAAAGGCCCTTACTATCTTAGGTCTCAGCTCTAGAATGTTCTCCTATGGAGAGAAAGGTGCAGTATTCATTAGACCCCTTTCTATTAAGAACATAAAAACATCTCATGTACTAATTATATATATTTCAAGCTCTTCTCTTGGGTTTCTAAACTGCTTTGGGAACATTTAAACTCTAACCAGCATGCCCCCATCCTGAGAGTTTGGCTGTGGGTACACTACTCCCATTTTATAAGGGACTAGATATTTTTTGAAATGCCTTGCCCTCTTGCCTTGCTCTGACCAGTCCGTAGTGCCTCTACTTCCTGAACAGAGCGTGGCCTCCCCTGTACAGCCATGCATTTGCGTGGTCTTTGCATGGCTCTCTGAGAGCCGAGACCTGCTCCCGCTAAGGACTCCATCGCTGTGAAGTGGCAGCTCGCTCCCCTGTGATTTGACGCCCAGATGCGTGTTCCTTCCCTGTGATAAGCAGCAAAGGGAAGGACTAGAGCGAGGAGGCTGGACCCTCTCCAGGGACGAGCCTGGAAGAAGACAGGGAGCAGTCTGTACTCCACAGCCTGTTCTGGGAGAGGCAGCCAAGCAGGCAGGCTGCCAGGAACCTCGGGCTTCATATCCATTTCTCCTGAGGTGGCATGTAATAGCAGAGGGCCTGGGAGCCGGGTCAGCAGGGGTCAGCAGGGGGTCAGCGGGGTTCAGCGGAAGAGGCCTTGCTTCTGAGGGAGCTGTGAGGACGGAGGACCTACCACTATTGTGTCTGGCCTTTTCCTCCTCAGCCTGGGGAGGCCACTCCCTCATGCCCACCCATGGCCCTGAACCCATTCGAGAAATGCTTGACAGCCAAGAGAGCAAAGACCCCACAGGGCCCTCCTCACAGGCAGCACGCAGGCCCGCAAGATCTCAGATGCAGGACTCTGGAAACATGGCCAAGCTTGCAGGCTTCTGAGGAGGGATACACAAGGCTTTGTGGTTTCGCAAGCTGCCCTCCCATTCCCAGAACCACATACTTCTGCATTGTAGTCACCCAAACAAGCCACGGTAATCCCTTAATAGCGCGGGGCTGTTTATAGCGTGCGCTGGTAGACATTGTCTCACTGAGGTCCTCCCCAGCACTGTGAGGAGGGGCTGTGCTGGCATCCCCACTTCACTGTCATGGAAAGTACTAGTAAGACTCAGGGCTTGTTTGGGCTGTTTTTCTGTATCCCACAGCTAGAGATGGGAACTAGGTCTTACACTTGACTGCCCTCCACCCCCCCCCCCCCCCCCAGGCCCGCCCATCGGCCTTTCAGTCACGCTGTGGTGCCAAACTGGGATCCTCCTCAGAGCCCCAGGGTCCTGAGAGCTGCCTCCGAGGCAGCTGGAGAAGTGACAGGGGCGGAGGGTGGGGCTCAGTTTTCCACTCCAGCTTTGCCTCCAGCCAGTTAGCTTGTCCCTTTTTCTTTTTTTTTTTAATGTTGAGAAGTCACAAGAATATTTTCACTATTTAATAAGCCATACTATAGCCCTAGCCAGTTTGGCTCAGTGGATAGAGCGTTGACCTGTGGACTAAAGGATCCCGGGTTCAATTCCAGTCAAGGGCACATGCCAAGGTTCTGGGCTCAAACCCCAGTAGGGGGCATACAGGAGGCAGGCAATCAATGATTCTCTCTCATCATTGATATTTCTCTCTCACCCTCCCTTCCTCTGAAAAATCAATTAAAATAGTTTTTAAAGAATAAATAAAAAATGATACTGTAAAGCTTGGGTTGAAACACTTTTAGAAAAGTGTGGGCAAAGGGTGAGAGAAACTCTGTGGTCCCCTGCCCCTTGCGCCCGCCCCCACCATGCACACACAGATTTTTGCCCACGTAGGGTAGGGTGGGAGTGAGAAGCCACCAGGACAACAGCAGCTGAGGGAATTCCTATTGGAGGAAGCAATGGCTCTCAGTCTGCGTTCACCAGCTTCCCCTGGGAATTTGTTAGAAATGTAAACCCTGGAGCCCCACACCAGGCAAACTGAAGCAGAAACCCCAGGGATAGGGCCCAGCTACCTGTGGTCCTCCAGGTGATCCTGATGCATGCTAATAATTAAGAAGCCCTGGCTTAGGAATGAGCTAGCAGGTGGCTCCTGGTAGCTTGCTTAGTCTTCCAAGCCCTCGTCCCGACTTACAATGACCTCCCTTCCTTATTATTTCAGGCCAAAGTAAGCCATAAAGAGGGATAGGCCAATTCAAATAGGTAGCTGCAGATTAGAACTGACCCCAGTCTTTTCTTTCTCTTTGAGAGGTTCTGAATTGGGAAAGGGGTGGGTCATAAATCAAAAAGATGGATGCTGAGAGGTAAACACAAATGATTCCTACAAGTAGCCCTGTTACATTGCCTCAGTAGGCTGGCTTCCTGGCTCCTTGTATCCTGGGGCAGACTGTGGTACAGGGTGGGTGGCAACTCCTGCTATGTATCTGTTCATTTCATAGAAAGTGTGTGAGCAAAAAGTTTCCTCTAGATTTAAGCTAATTTGGAGCCCCACCCAGCAATAAAGGGACAGGAGAATTGCTGTGAGATGTCTTTGCAATAATCAGTCAGTCCACAAGTATTTATTGAGTATTATGTAACAGGCTCTGGGGAACACAGGGTCTACCCTCAGAATTTACAGTCTAGTGGAAAGCGTTGATGGATGGTAGCAGATAGATAGACAGATAGATAGATAGATAAACAGACAGACACATAGACACACATACAGACGTTAATTTCATATAGTGATAAAATCTTCAAAAAATAAAATAGAGTAATAGAGAGTGACTTGGGGCTCTGGAGACCACTGCAGGGAGGGCACTCAAGGAAGGTTGGCTAAGAAGGAAAAATGTGAGCAGAGACCCTGAGGATGAGGATGAGGAGAAGCCAAACATGTAAAAATCTGGGAGAAGGAACAAGTGCCAACGGCCTGTGCCTAGAATGGATTTGCCATGCTTAACAGGCCGCCGTGGCTGCTGGGTGGGGAATGAGGAGACTATGGTGGGCCAACAAACAAACAAACAAAACTTAAGCCATGCTCTAGGTGGGGATTATACAGTTGTATGGATTCATAAAAACTCATCAAGCTGTAACCTTACAAGTTGTTCATCTCCTTACAAGTAAATTACACTTCAGTTTAAAAAGAGAGAGACTTGAGAGATAAACAAGAACAATAATTACTAAAGCCAATTTTGATAATCAAATGCTCCAATCATCTGATGCTTTCCTTACAGATAGGGAAAGATCCAAGCTCCTTGCTATGGTTCCATTGGGCATGTATTTCAGGATTTGTTTTTTTGTTTGTTTGTTTGTTTTTTAAATATATTTTATTAATTTTTTATAGAGAGGAAGAGAGAGGGATAGAGAGCTAGAAACATCGATGAGAGAGAAACATTGACCAGCTGCCTCCTGCACACCCCCCACTGGGAAAGTGCCTGCAACCAAGGTACATGCCTTTGACCAGAATCGAACCTGGGACCTTTCAGTCTGCAGGTCAACGCTCTGTCCACTGAGCCAAACCGGTTTCGGCATGGCTTAAGTTTTTAAAGAGTGTGCTGCTCAGAGAAGTGGTTGAGGCAGTGCGGGCAACAGTGGCAGCAGGAATACCAGTTAGAAGGCTGTTTCGGTCATCTGGAAGATGTGATGGGGCTTACAATAGAGTGGCACAGAGGAGGTGGTGAGAAGCGGTTGGATTGGGCTGGATTTAGAAATAGAGGTGATAGGACATGTTGATGTAGAGAATCTGGTGTGAAAGAATAAAGAAGTCCTCCCAACTTGGTGGTCAGAGTAACTCAATAGGATGGTGCTGTTTACTTAGATGGAGGAGGATTTCAGAGATTTGCAAGGTATTAGGAATCAATAATTTTATAGGGAAAATGCTAATTCGAGTCTTAGAATTGTAAGACAACCCTAAACATCAAACTTAAGACTTATATGGCCCAAACTTTACCCAGTTGTACATTTATAGCATGTGAGTATTCCAGTAGACACAGAAAAAAGAAACCAAGCTATAGTTGTCAATTAATGGGCCAAGCACTTTCCAATTGGCTGAAAATATAGACCACAATCCTAACTAGCCCCACTCTCTTTCTTGCCCCTTAGATTCTGATGTCAGAGCCAGGGAAGTTGCTACAGAAAGTGAAGGTTTGGCTGCAGGAGTACTGGAATGTCACAGACCTCATAGCCATCCTTCTGTTCTCTGTTGGAATGATCCTTCGTCTCCAAGACCAGCCCTTCAGGAGTGACGGGAGGGTCATCTATTGTGTGAACATCATTTATTGGTACATCCGTCTGTTAGACATCTTCGGCGTGAACAAATACTTGGGCCCATATGTAATGATGATTGGAAAAATGGTAAGTAGAATTCTCTGATTCCATATGATAAATTCTCAAATGAGGAGTGGTAATAATAGGAAGAGGGAGGTAATTCATTTGGCCCTGCTGTCAAGGTCTTATTGATATGGTCCTGGGTGTCTTACTTTTTAATTCCTTTTTGCATGTTCTGGAGTTTGACTAAATCTATAAACATAACTGAACAATTATCCATCACTCACACATTTACTTACTGGAAACTATATAAAGAGTATATATTTTGTGCCAAGCACTGGACTAGGATTTGGGTATATAAATTCCATGAGACTGAAGATAGGAGGAAAAGAAGTGATTACCATTCAGTGTGAGAATGCTGTAATAGACATGTATATAAAGTACAATAGGGACATAGAAAAGAGAATGGAGGTCAGGGCAAGTTTTAAATGGAGGTTATATTTTTGCTGGATCTTGGCGGACTAAGTCTCCACTCCAAATATTTAACAGATTTTTAAGATTTTTAACATTGCTTTTTTTTTTTTTTAAATAAAGTGCTAAGAAAATGCCTTTCCCTACGCAAAGAGAAGAAAAACATCGTTTATTTGAATTCAGTTGTTAGGTTGTTCTTGAATTGACCATTAAGTTCTATTACTATATTATGTATCTTATTACACTATTGGAAAGTGATGTCTGTTAAAAAATAGGTTCCAGCACGATGCCCTACTATCTTTTTTTTTTTTTTTTTTTTTAATGAATCCCAAGTGGCAAACTAACATGCTTCCCCACAATGGCTGTGGACTTAGTCCAACTTCTTGGCCACATCAGTTGCCAGGCCTCCATAGAGACCACGCCCTCGGGGAACAGCCTTAATGTGAACCTGGGAGAGCCCAAGTAAACCAGCTCCCTCTCCAAACTCATCAGAGGAAGAATCAGAGCCTGAGTTGTTTTGGTTTTTTTTAAGTCAGTTTTTCCATTTTTTCTCAGTGTATCCTCTACTTCACCTTTACAGCACATATGAGGAAAAGCCAAGCCATCCATTCTATAATGCCAAACACCTCTTATTGAAAAACCTCCTCATTAATAACCTCCACTCCACTTCCATTTTTGAGCTAATGAAACCAACAATTGGTCAATAGGGTTTTTTTTTATCATTCTTTCTCAAGTTTTAAAATAATATACATTTCAGTCAACAAATCAATATTTATTATGTGTATGTGTGTGAAACTAAGGAATCCTAAGTAACCAAATCTTCCTTCAAAGTCATGCAAAGAGAGATAAAACTTGAATCCAAGAGGAGACCTTGAACAACTCATTTAACCTCTTTGAAACTCTGTTTAATCGTTTCTTAAGTAGTTATAATAAAGGCAGAGCTTGTAAGGTTGTTGTGATTATTAGAAAGTATACATGTTAATTATACAGTATGTGGCTCATTGTAGGTAGTTGATAAATTGTCTGTTATTATGTTCATATTATATCTGTTAAAATACAATGAAATGGGGAGAAATTGGTGAGTATAGTTATTCTGCTCTATTCCTAACACTTTTGTACAAAAGCTTTGTGTGTATAGCAACAGCATTGTTTAGGGAAAATATTCCAAACCCATTCTAGAGAGGAAAAACTTAAATTGAACAAGCTTGAATTTAAGACTAGTCCCAAAACTGTATCCCAGTTCATTTAGGTATTTTAGATTAGAAGAAAAGAAAAGCATCTTACTCTATTACACCGCCTGTTATATAATCTTATTTCTACTTCAGTAATGAATTTGAGATAGTGGTGAAAATTCCTGTGTCTAAAAGCAGAGTCTCAACTTAGAGTCTACAGGAGACATTTAGAAGAGATGATCAGTAGTCCTTCGACCCAAGTTATATATAAAAATGTGTGAGTGTATGAATTTTCTGGGCAGAGAGGAGAAGCTTCCATGAGATTATCAAGTGGATTCTTAAATGGGCCCAATGAAAGTGAAGGACTATAACAGCTATGAAATTAGGCCAAATTTTCTCAATCTTGACACTATTGATATTTTGGACTCAAATATTCATTGTTCTGGGCAGGGGGCTGTCCTATGCATTATAGGATATTTAGCAGCATCTTCTACATTCTAGATGCCAGTAGAACACACACACACACACACACACACACACAAACACATTAAAATGTAGATAGATATTGCCATATGTTCTGGGGGTCAGAGGATAGGAAGGCAAAATACCCTCTGTTGAGAACCACTACATTGGGTGATTACATAATCTGATTGTTTTATTCTAATTAATTGTTACCTTATTTTATTTCAATAAATAAAACCTGAAAAGACCCAAACAAGCCAAATATAGTACTTTAAAAAGGTTGAGTGGCATTTAAACATTTGAAATAACTAAAGTCAAACTAAAGCGGCAATATTATTTTAAAATCCACATCTATCATTTTAATAATGGCATAATTATCCCTTTTTTATTAGAATTAAATCTAATAAGTAAGAGAGACATACTGCATTTCCTCTACCTACTAACTTATGAATGATTTCATTTATCAGTCAAGAATAAGTAGAAAATGAGTATATTTGGGGGCTTTGTTCTCCATGGGGTTTTTAGGATAATTAGTTCAATAATTGAGTCACTGATCCAGAAGGTAGGTAAAATGTGCCTATAGAATTTATCAGGGAGCCAGATGGACTGCCAGGCTGGAAGGTTAACAAAATATGCCCAGATGCGATTATACTGAAAGTCCCTCAACATTAGAGAGTTTCTATTCAGTGCTAAACTGCTAAGTAACTGTGCCCTGTGGTCTACGGAGAGACACAGCTGTTAAGAAACCTGAATACAATACTGATCAAGTATGATTCCAACTGATCTCTAGATCCAGGATCCCACTTCTCAGTGGAATTCTCCAAGCCTAGTGCTAAGCTTACTTATATAATGCAGAATAAAAACAACAGTAATAATAGCTTTCATTTACTGTGTGCCAAACTCCATGTCAGACAGGTCATCATTATAACCTGTTTTAGTATCTTCATTAAATAGTGGAATAAATTGAAATTGGGCAAGGGACAAAAACAGGATTTCAATTCCTGTCTATCTGACTCCATAGACTGACCTTTTTCCAATTCTAATAATAATAATTCATTACCATGTATGAAAAATTACCCACATGAAGCATTTCACATATTATCTCATGTATTCCTTACAAAAACAATATGCATTATTAATGTTGTTATTATTATCACCATCTTGAAAATGAAGAGAGAGAAAAACCCCACAAGATTAAGTAACACCACCTCGCTGTTTTTACTAGCAAAGCCAAGATGAAAAAAACTCAGGTAGTCTGACACCTGAGAACCCGTGCTTAGCCACTAGACTAGAGTATATACTCTTCTCTATAAAACAAAATCAAAGAATATTTATAAGAATTAGGTCTCTTAACACTGAACCAACTGGACAAATTAGCTTTAAAAACAAGTAACCAGCCCCAGTTCTCAACCATAATGTTCTATTTCTGCACTCCACTCTATTAGATGTTGGTATTTGAATGGAAGCTAAGACTTCTTTGAAATATATGAAATTGAGTGTTTGGGAAGAATGTCTCTGCTGTCTGATTGTTTTGATACTTTGATTAAATATCACAATCAATCTGAATGAAAACAGTCCTGAGAAGTTAGAACAGATGCTATATTTACTGGCTGAGTTTTCTTGAATCATACTATTGATAGCTCCTGAATCTCAAGAGTACACACCTTCCTCTTCCCACCCCTTTTAGTCAATCTCAATAAATATAACATGAAAAACCCATTAGTGTTTCTTCATTGGTAGAACTTCTTGTAAATAAATAATGAAAGAATTTTACAAAATAAAAAAGAGCAAGGATGAGAAGCAGACCCTTGTTTCCTATAAAATTGTTTTAACACAGTTGGCTTGCTCATTTTAAGAGAGTTCTGAGGCCTCTAAGTTGTGAAAGGAATAACTAATTGACTGGAATATATATTTTAAGGACAGTGAATAAATAAGAATTGGTGTCACCTTTTGAGAGACACTTATTTAGTTTCAAAGTCACATAATACTTGAGAGATGGATTTTGAAGTTGCCTTGAAAGTTGATAAATGGACACAAAATATATTGAGCCCCCAGTGTCCTAATGCAAACAGGAAGGCTGTAATGTTGAAATTCCAATAACAGGCACCATGGAATGCACTTTTTAAAATAAATTTTTAAAACTAATTTAAAGCCTTTATTATCCTTGATAAGATTATCATCAGTTATCTTCATGGGTGGGCATCCTTTGAGGAAGTTTGATATCCTAGAAAAGGTAGTCTTTTGTATTAAAAGGTTTGATTCAAGGATAGAAACTTATCTCCAACTGGCTTACATCCAGGAGGGACAGATAGATTTTAGCCTGGCACGATGTGATGGAATTGGCCTTAGGGGCTACTGCAGCCAGTCAGTCTCTCTCTCTCTCTCTCTCTCTCTCTCTCTCTCTCTCTCTCTCTCTCTCTCTCTCTCTCTGTCTCTCTCTCAAATATCTGCTTCATTCACTTTGATCAGTAGTGGGGCATGTAGCCACAGACACTCTGGGTTAACATCATTACAGAGAGATAAAGGCAGTACCTCTTTCCCAGCTTCAGCTGAAAAATATCCAAAGAAAGGGCTCTGGTTGGATTCTTGTCACATGCCTCCCTCCTGTGACTGCTGCTGCCAGAGGGTGTGGCACCATGTGTAACCCAGCCTGGCCAAAGTGGGTGTGGACTGTTTCTAAGAGAAGAAGGCAGTGGGTTCTGACCAGGTAAAATAATAGTTATTGCATTCTCATCTATTTTTGGTGATAATAGGAAAGTAACTTGGCATATAAGAAACAGATCCCAAATTGCATGTGTCATGAAAACAAACAAAAAAAGAAAGAGGAACTAGCGATAACATTGTACTTGAATGCAGTCAAAAGAGAATTTTATAAACATGTCAAGATGAAAATCCAACCTTTCAACAGCAGGCACAGGAATGGGCTACCTGATTCTAATGCCTATAAAAACACGCTTCCTAACTGATAGCATATGCTGCAGGAGAAGTACAGGGGGAGTGGTTCTCTGTAAGACAGGTTTATGGTAGAATATACCATGCAGTGAGGTGAAGCTACAAGGAGAACATAGAATATGATGGAAATCTGTGGGCCTCGCTTTGTTTACAAATGGTTATTTTCATGAGCTTCCACCTCTTCAGTAGATTTTCAGAACTTAGAGAATTTACAACATTGCAGTAATTCTTCAAATAGTTCAACTATCCCATTTCCAATTTTGCTAATAAGGAAGAAACCAAGAAGGAGATTTGCCTCCCATGAGAGCAGAGAAAAAGTTAGTACTAAATTCATATAGATACCCAAGCTTCTATGCTACTTGACTCCTACATCTGGTTTTGACTAGTTTCCACAGACAACAATGGAAGATGAAGGGGTTCCCTTGGGCATGTATTTCAGGATTTGTTTTTTTTTGTTTGTTGTTGTTTTTTTTAATATATTTTATTGATATTTTACAGAGAGGAGGAAGGGAGAGAGATAGAGAGCAAGTCGATGAGAGAGAAACATCGACCAGCTGCCTCTTGCACACCCCACTGGGGATGGCCTGCAACCAAGGTACATGCCCTTGACTGGAATCGAACCTGGGACCTTTCAGTCCGCAGACCGACGCTCCACCACTGAGCCAAACCGGTTTCAGCGGGATTTGTTTGTTTGTAATGATTTTTTTTAGTTATTTATAACATTCCATGGACATTGGTTTCAATAAGCCAAATGTCCTTTTATCTGGGCACAGCTCCCTATCTAAACATTCCTTATCAGCGTTATTGGAAGTGAACCTCCTTCAGAGGTTCCCATCAATGTCAGTGTCGTTGGAACTCTCAATCATATGAGTTTTCTTTTGTTTCTGCCTCTGCTTCTCCACCCTTCCAGATGATAGACATGATGTACTTTGTCATCATTATGCTGGTGGTGCTGATGAGTTTTGGGGTTGCCAGGCAAGCCATTCTCTTTCCCAATGAGGAGCCATCATGGAAGTTGGCCAAGAACATCTTCTACATGCCCTATTGGATGATTTATGGGGAAGTGTTTGCGGACCAGATAGACCGTAAGCAAGTTTATGATTCTCATACACCAAAGTCAGGTATTTAACTTCAATCAGGTCATGTCTTTTCCAAGTTCATTTGTTTGTTCTCAATAAATGGCTCAAGATAGAGGACCAATTCCTAGCTTGTTATCATGGAGGGGGGAAAAACAACAACAGCACAATTACAGAAAGTGAATATACAATTTTAGCAAAGTAATCCTCGGGTGTTTCTTCAGGTATGTCCTTTCTGTGACATGAATCAACATGTGGTATGCCAAATTTGACCAAGAAATAAATCATTTAACAAGATTGAAATTCTTTAAGGCCATGTGTTGACTATTTCAGTATTAGTAATATATTACATCACTAGTCCCCACCCCTGCCCCAGCCTGTAAAATATAAATTCCTTGGGTTTGACTTAAGAACAAATAAACAATTCTCAATTTCACCATTAGAATTCGAGAGTGAGGGCCAACATCTGCATGGTGTTTTCCTTGCACTGGAAACTATTCTCCAGCTCCTTTCCCCACTGTCTTAAATTATGTACTTTTGAGACTCAACAGAAGCTAGTATTCATTCCCTGGAAGTATGGAAAATGCCTTTGGTTGTAAACAGAATTGCTTGCTCTAAAGGCTAAACATAAAACAGTATCTATATCATGAATTGACTTAGTGTGGGGAGTGAGCAGCAGCAGCAGCCAGGCCCCTGATGTTTCAAGCCCTAATAGATTCTGATTCTCAATAACAAACACTCTACTTGTATAGAGTATGAAGATGGTTGTATCCTAGGAGTCTGTTCCAAAATTTTATTTGGACCAAATGTCAGGGCACACCAGGCATTGGGAAGTTGTGTGAGAGGAAAGCATAAGGAAAGAAAAAAATCTTTCAGTGTGGGGGAGTTGAATCCCAGGAGCAACTATTTCTTATTTTCCCTGAGGACTTTAGCTCTAGAAATAACATCCCTCCAACATTGTTGAATTAACAACTTTTCAGTCATTTTTTGCTGACAGGCCAGCCATCCGAGCCCTGTACTGTGGACATGGATTAGGGTTACATAACCAGGTAGTAAAGCTTATTAAGAGCAAGAGCAGACTCTAGTCAGCATCCCTCTTCCCGCCCCCGCCAGTCCCAGGTAGGACTGAGACCAGTAAAAAAAAGGACAAAGCACTAAAGAGTGTGAATCCTGCAGGCCCGGGAAGAGCATATGTCCACAGGAGACAGAACATACCTCTACGTCATTTTCCCTCTGGTGGATTTTGAATGAATACCCTTTCCCTCGCAGAATGAGTTTTCTGAGGCAAGAAGGCTAATTGGGACAAATACTCATTTCATAAGACTCAGCCAACTCACTGAGGAAGGATTTTGACTCCGTCTCCTAGTTGAAATATCTTTGGTTGACAATGTGCAGCCTTCACCAAGACAAGCTTTCCAGAGAAAACTCTTTTGGAATCTTCCTTTCAAATGGCCCCTTGAGGCAAAACAATACTTCTAAAGCCCACCAATGATCATTCTCCTCAGAGACCAAATGTACTGTTTTCCCCTCAAGAAATTGCTGTTCCACTTACATTATTTTGCCTTTATCATTTTCCTTTGTTCCCCGTAATGAAACTAAGCCCCCTGGGTATTTTGATGATGTAACATTTGGGGATGGGAGCAAAAGGGAGGTACAGGTGTGTTTTATGAATGGAATTCTGTCTGTCCCTCTACAAGTGGCCATTTATTGATGTTGTACTATGAACCCAGCCTAGTGCAACAAATACCACCATCTGGCTGAATCAGAGGATTTATTATTGTTATTTTAAAAGAAGGGCTGATTGTAGTTTAGAACTTGAAAACCACCCCAGATACAGAAGTGAGGTGTTTCATGTGAGTGAAGTATGAAAATAGATTCCCCACGTTGTTAATTAGATCTGTGGTGCTCTATGTGTGTGAGAATAAATTTCTACCCCAAATCCCAATGTGTAACCGACCCAGCCTTGGATGCAACCTTCATGACACACTTCCCCTAACCACTTCCTTCTTGATGTTCTGAAAGAACTGTTCTAAGCTAAATCAGCCAGTTTTCTATCTAGAGTGCTAAAGAGAAATTGTCCTTTCTCAAATGGGTATAGAAAGAGATTCCACCAAATCCGTCATCACATTTGGCCAAGGTCACTGAATATCCCTGTCCTCTAAATTATTTGATTTTCAGGGGTGGGTCCACAAGGGGGGTTAGTGACTGCCCCACCTGGTCATGCAGAACTGCCTGGGAGACCCAAGTACCAAGCTATTTGAGAAAGGTACACATCATTTATGCTGCCCTGTAGTGTCTTGCCTCTTTTCTGTGCCGTGTCTAGGTTGGTTTGTGAAGCATGTGTTCAGGCTGATCGGATCTCATATCCACCTGGACCCACAGCCCTGCACAGGGTCTACCAATTCCATGCTGCCTTGTTCCCCCGTGTGGGCCTCTCCAAGTGCTGCTCATTGACACACACCTCAGAGCGACTCATTTCTGACGCAATGCACGTGCTCTGTATCTAACTTTTTTATTTTAACTGCAAAATTGCTGAACCCATTTCATGTTTGGGGAAATAACCTTTCTTAATTAGGATGAATATATATGGATATATAATGGGGCCCTGGGACTGGGTTACTAACCTCCGTCTTACACCTCAGAAGGGAGAGCAGCTTTAATGCCCTCACTTCTGGGAGCAATGATACTGAGCAACAGATTTCCTATGTGCATTTCCTTTTTGTAGTTTGCCCTAAACCCAGAGACTATCTAGTAATGCCAAAAAGGCTAGCATAAGACTTATAAGTCTTATGTATTTACAGACTAAAAGAAAAATAATAAAGAATGGAGTCACTATAAACTCACAAAGCAACATAGGTGCTTTTACCGCTAAACCAGGTTGAGGTAACACAAATGATAGTCTGGCTTTAATCTCAATAATCTGTAGAGGCTAAAATATTTGCTTTGGTGGGAGCAGAAGTGAGTGCAAATACATGATTGGAAGCAGTAGATGGTGAAACTGGGGAAGGGACAGCAGTGGACAGCTGTGTCTAGATACTTTGACCAACACTTAGACTAATTGATGGGAATAGGACTTGCTATTATTGTTGGTTTATTTTTACTTTGTTTTTTTCCAAATAGCTCAAAATCATCTCAGGTGTTTGTTATATAAAATGCTAACTCCCTTGCCAAAACCGGTTTGGTTCAGTGGATAGAGCATCAGACTGCGGACTGAAAGGTCCCAGGTTTGATTCTGGTCAAGGGCATGTACCTTGGTTGCGGGCACATTCCCAGTAAGGGGTGTGCAGGAGACAGCTGATGTTTCTCTCTCATCGATGTTTCTAACTCTCTAGCCCTCTCCTCTCCTTTCCCTCTCTGTAAAATCAATAATATATATATATATATATATATATATATATATATATATATATATATAGAGAGAGAGAGAGAGAGAGAGAGAGAGAGAGAGAGAGAGAGAGATTTTTTTTTTATAAATGCTAACTCCCTAAGACCCAACCTGGGGCCACCATGAAGTGACTTAGGCTGCAGGTTGCTAAATGCTTTGCTACCAAATGATGCCATTCTTTGGGCATCTCATTAAGGTGACCCATGTTGCATGGCTTCTGTGAGCTGGTCAGGATCCCACTGGAGCCCAAGTGGGGTAAAAGACACTTAGAGAAGAGATGCAGCAAAATAAATTTCCAGTATATTCATGCCAAGGCCAGGGCAAAGCTAGTGGGCCTCTCGCCAGCTGAGAAATCTGCTGTTTTGGTGTGTGAGGTACCTGGAAGTTCACCTTTGTTGGCAGATTCCTCCCGCCTCTGAATGAATGAAACGACTCTTTATTTACAGGGCATCCTTGTGTTGCCTGTAGTACACACAGATTCCTAGGCCATACCAGGACAGGGGGAAAATGAATCATACTCTTGAATGCATTATAAATCAGGCTCTAAATTTAGTCCTTCTTTCTGCTTCTCTGAGTATTTTTACAAGTTTGGGTAGTAATGCGAAAGCACTACTTTCTGCCATGACAACTTAATATTATTTAGCTGTTTCCACTCACCCTAAATTAACTAGCCAATCTACTTAATGCGTAGGTCAATTTTATTTTCTCTTACAGCCTAGGGCTTTTCCATCTGAAATTAATAGGTAATCTAGAACAAGAGGGGGTTCTTTCGTTGTTTTGGTTTGGTTTTGCTCTACTTAATTAATTGATACAAAATTTTTCTATTAAAAAAAATCTTCACTCTTGTGTACCCCTGTAGTCTCTGTGATGTTGACTTGATTTGAAGTGCTGTTTTTATCAGGAAACAAAGAGCATGAGTGAGCATGGAAAGCTAAAACCTTCTCCTGCATTACTTTTCTGCCTCAAATCATTTGTTCCTCTCTTCAGGTGTGGAAATTAGAATAACTCAAGGCCAGTCTCTAAAATGTGCCTGCTTATTTTGGTGAAACGTAGGACAGCATGAACAGAGAAGATGAATATTGTTATGCATTTCAATTGTTAGACTCCAGTTCTGGGGACTTGGGCTCTGCATCTGTTTGGTATTCAGGACTGACCTCTAAAGGATGCAGAGCACACTAATGCCCAACAGCTATTGCAGGGGGAGGGCTGCCTGGCCAAAGAAAGTATTTTGGAAAAGAAACACTTGAGACAGTGCCAACTTTTGGGAAAGGGGGAATTGTTTTGCTGGGTTTTGTTTTCACAAATTGCTAAGGAAGCGAGCCAGTATGAGCCACCACCCCCATCGTCTGTCCCTGAAAGTCAGCTTACATTCTCAGGAATACCTGCCTGACTTGTTTACAATGCACATTGAGGCTCAATGGGTTTACAAACAGCAGCACTATGGGCAGACTAGCCCTTGTGATGATCCAGTATTCGATGTGATCAGCATTTGTTCTGCTGTCTTATTCACTTAGCCTTTGCTCCCAGCTTGGCCTTCATTTTTAATTGGTCCATTCTTCATTCACTAGATATTTTTCTATTAATGAACTGGACACAGGTATAAGTATGCACGTGACAGATAAAC